AAGGCTTCCTGGGCGCCTGGGTGGCTCAGTTAGTTAAGCGTCTGCCTTCGACTCAGGTCATGATCCCAGGTCCTGGAATTGAGTCCCACATCGGGATCCTTGCTCAGTGGGGAGCCTGGTTCTCCCTCTTCAGCTCCCCCTGCTTCTGCTGTCAAATAAATAAAAATCTTTAAAAAAACAAGCCTTCCCTTGTTGGTCAAATGTTAGCAGTGGTTTGAACTTCCATTGTAAAGTTTCTTTCCTGGCCCCTCCTGGGGAAGGGGGGGATATGAAATGGCTAAAAATATAAACAAAAGGAAGGAGAGATCAGAAGCTAGAATGTAACTGAAAACTGACTTGGGGTTAGTTCTTTTCTCCCCCTTCCTTTCTTTTTTTTAAAGATTTATTTATTTGACAGAGAGAGACACAGCGAGAAGAGAGAGGAAACACAAGCAGGGGAGTGGGAGAGGGAGAAGCAGGCTTCCGTGGAGCAGGGAGCCTGACGCGGGGCAAGATCCCAGGACCCTGGGATCATGACCCAAGCCGAAGGCAGAGCTCAATGACTGGGCCACCCAGGAGCCCCTCCCCCTTCCTTTCTTGAGTAATGACAATTCTACTTTGGATTATGTTCAATACCAAGAAAACAAATAGGCTTTAGGTTATAAAAAGAAACCAAATTTCATTAAATTATATATAGCTTTGTATCAGTGGAAATTAAAACGCACTTCCCACAAAACCAGTGGGTGATATAAATGGCGGATCAAAGTTTCCAGATGCCTCAACAACTCCAACAAAGATTTCTTCCCCCCCCAAAAAATAGGCTTCCAACTAGATCTCAGTAATAAATCCTAAATAGTACTTTTCTTACTGAAGAGGATGCATTCAAATACTTATTAGAGGGCGCCTGCTCAGTTGGTTAAGCAACTCAGTTGGTTAAGCGACTGCCTTCAGCTCAGGTCATGGTCCCAGAGTCCTGGGATCGAATCCTGCATTGGGCTCCCGCCTCAGTGGGGAGCCTGCTTCTCCCTCTGACCCTGTCCCCTCTCATGCTGTTTCTCTCTCTCTCTCTCAAATAAATAAGTAAATAAAATCTTAAAAAAAATACTTATTACTCTATAATCTTGAGATAAGAATTTCATAGGAAACAAAGGGATGCATTACCAAATCTCAAGAGGATTGATTAAAACAAACAACCTGGGGTGCCTGGTGGTTCAGTCAGTTAAGTATCTGCCTTTGGCTGAAGTTATGATCCCAGGGTCCTGGGATCTAGCCCCACGTCAGGCTCCCTGCTCACTGGGGAGCCTGCTTCTCCCTCTGTCCCTCTCCCTGTTTGTTCTCTCTCTCAAATAAATAAAATCTTAAAAATAAATAAAACACCCTAAGGGGCACCTCACTGGCTCAGTTAGCTGAGCATGCAACTCTTGACCCCTGGAGCTATTAAGTTTGAACCCCACACCAGATGTAGAGATTACCTAAAAATAAATTTTAAAACAAACACACACCCTAAGACAATGTCCCACATACCAAAAATGTGACCATCTCTATCAGTTGAATTGCTGGGAGAGGTCTTCCTGGTAGAGAGGTCAAAGTATGGCAGGGTCTTTCCTGTAGGTGGCTAGTTAGACCCATTGCTTGGCTGAATCATTATTTCCGTGTTAGCTGGAAGTAGGGGATCAAGCATTGGATAAGAACTCTGCATTCATTGTTTCTGATGCCCCTTTCATGGCTCCTCTTCTCCCCAACTATTGTCCATTTACATTTAGATGGCTGGATATGAATTATTTTAGCCTTTTCTCCACATCTAGACATAAAATGCCTGCTTCAGATCTAAAACTCTGTGGTCTTTGGGTAAACGTATAATCAAGCAACAAGTGCAAATGAATAATACCAGCTCCCTTTTTATGAGGAGAGGTATTAACCATCTGGAAAGGGATGGGGAGAGGGAGGGCTAAGGAATGGGTTTATTGGAGAAGAGAAATTTAAAATTGAGGCTCTAGCTTTTGCTTAGTGTCAGCAAACTCATGTTAAGTGTACGCACACACAGGCATAAGGGAGCTCCTTGACATGGAATTGAAAACAAAAGCATTTCCACTTCATATAACAAATTATAGTTGATGTATATTTGTATTTTTGCAACATGGTTGGTTTGCACTTGTATAAAGGAGCTTCTTTACCAGGAACCTAAATTTGAACATTAGGGAAAACAAGTATGCAACACCAGGAAGAGGAAGTAGAAAGTCTCTTCCCATTTTCCTAGGCACAAGGTCCATTTTTAAGAAAATTTCAAAATAAGCTGTTTCACTTTGGCTCACTCCTACTTGGTATGAAAACACCCAGGGCCTTCATGTGACCTTTAGCTACCCAGAGCTACTCAGTACCCTAAGTGCCCATTGTCTCAAACCTTACCCAGTCCCTCCTTTCTCACTTCTAGCCCTACCAAAACTGCTTTTCTCTCACAGAAGAGGGGGGACAGAGCTTAGTGGCAGAATCTCTTAAGATAACCAATAGTATGGTAGGTAATATGTCAGTGATCAGATGGTGGACATTTTTCTTTTTGCTACTTACTCATAATTTTAAGCTTTAGGATTTATAAATTAAATTTATAAATTGATTTGTGAAAAATAAAAAGTCCTTAAAGTGTATATCTGATTGTTTTAGAACATACTGTTTCTTTCCATTTATATGTCTCTCTTAATAATACTGTTGTTTGAAGGTAATTCAATTTATTCTTGGACTTGAGATTTTTTATCATTATAATGAAAACCTTTCTTTCTGAGATACAGATGGTAAAACTTTTATATGCATGTATCAGCCACCTTACTATGATTAGTAGACTGCACAAAGGCATTTGGACTAATGGCTAATGAAGCGATGATGTGCTACCAACCTCCCTGCCACTTGTTCACATATGACTGAATTAAACATTACTAACCACAATCTTCTTTTTAACAAAGTTATTCTCCAGTGTTGTAGAGCAATCAGTGGAATGAAACAAATGGAGTAAATGCTTAATTCCCTCCTTCTCCCACCCTTGCTCAAGGGTAGGCTCCTTGCAAGGTCCCTCCAAGTCTTCCTAACTAATGATGGATATACCAACTGGCAACTGGTACGGTGACAGTGGTTCCTTTTAGCTGAGTTACAGCAATTAGCTATTTGCTAACTGGCTTTTTCTTACTGGGAAAGTCCTCGGATTAAATTCGGTTTAAAACATCTGAACAAAGACAGTTAGTATTGTAGCCCAACATGTCAATGGCCTTGATTCTTTGCCTCCCTTGTAGTAACACCGCCAGCTCCTGTGTAAAAGGAAGGCGACTCTTGACTGGTCCATTTCCTCCACGCCTGATAATGGGAGTCAGAAGAAAGCATGCTTCCATATTATTAGTTTATTTCTTCTTAAGTTAGAAGCAAGACAGAGGATGCAGTTCCTACAGGTTTGAATGCTTGATCATACTTGGGTGAGAATTGATGCAGTGAAAGAAAAAAAGTGCTTTAGCCAGAGTGTGCAGTGCATACATAGCTCAGATCCAGACACATTCAGGCTTTAAATCTTCACCATGGTTGGCGTATTTGTCTCCTACTGCCTGGGACAGTGTAGTACAAACTTTAAGGCCTTCTCTTCATCCTGTGAAGCCAGACTGGGTGCTGAGAGTCTCCCTTTTGTTTACTTTCTCTAGGACGCTGCTGACTGAATCTATGAGATTTCTCCCAATCTGGGAGAGTAGGGCTGCTTTCTGCACACGCTCACTAACCCCTTCCAGAAGCTCCCTCGTGTTGCCCTCCTGTGTGCGCTGGTGGCAGGCCACAGGGTGGGATGATATATGGGCAAGGGACTGAGTATTGTGTGTGTCGTGGACCATTTGTGGGGGTCTGCAGGCAGGCCATCTCCAGTGGCTCATGGGCAGATTCCTAATGGAGGCTGTGCCGTGGTTTGTACGGTCCATGTTGGTTTACTGCCCTCCAAGAGCCCTGGGTGCAGTTCTCCTAGGTGCACCCCATTCCCCCGTTGAGCAGTGTATCTCAGTATTCTGGGTGGGGCTAGAAAGAGGGTTCTCTCTTTGGCAGCATCCTGCAGAGCTGGGGGAGCCATTGCTCACTCACATGTTCTCCCTCCCCTCCATGGGGAAATCACAGGCTGGAAGGTTTCTCTTGGTGGGGAGCTGTGTCACATGGGCAGGGCTGATGAGGTTAAAGTTAAATTGTTCTTTGTGCCCTCCTCAATCTATCCAATCTCAGATTTGTTTTGCTCCACAGTGTGCTGGGTCTTCTCTGCTGGACTTCCTCACAGGCACTTCCTTTAGTTTAGTGTATAACCGTGAAGATCAGTGGTTCTTTTGCGGGGGTGGGGGGTGGCGGGTGGAGATGGTAGAAAATTAGTGGACATGCTCTTAAGAGAAATGTTTTAAGACACAAAGTTAAAAAACTCAAATGAATCTCTAACTGGCAAAATTTCAGGCAAAATAACAGAAGAGTAAAAAACAAAAGTCAGGTTGTAGGTATGTGTTGGGAGATGGGGTTAACTTTCCAGGTAACGCATACTACTAAGTGTGTATACAGTTCCTTTGGGCCATTTCTACTTTCCATGGCTTTCTCCCATTATTGAAAGCTTAACCCAGAAATTCTTTAAAATACCAATGGCTGTTCGGGAGATCCCCCCTCACCTACCAACTCTGGAGGGGAGGGGACAGAAGGAATACCATTAACACAGAGAGAAAATGGCCCACCAGGATATATCCCAAAGAGGCTTATTTTCAACCTCATACTAGTAGATTAGTGTTCATAATATAAATAATACATAGGGCGCCTGGTGGCTCAGTTGGTTAAGCGACTGCCTTTGGCTCAGGTCATGATCCTGGAGTCCCGGGATCGAGTCCCACATCGGGCTCCCTGCTCGCCGGGGAATCTGCTTCTCCCTCTGACCCTCTTCCCTCTCGTGCTCTCTATCTCTCATTCTCTCTCTCTCAAATAAATAAATAAAATCTTTAAATAAATAAATAAATAAATAAATAATACATACTTTAGGTAAATTACCATGCTACAAAAATATTTAATAAAATCTTTAAGAAACTTAGAAATGACTGATGATTGATAATTCTCTTAAGTAAACAGACTACAATAACATTATAGTCACTGGCTAAGTTCCATCAGTTTTTTTTAATTCTCTTTGATTTTTTCTCTTGGTCTTCTGTTATCCTTTCTGCAGGTCGCTTCTTCAACCCCTTCATTTTCCTGGTTTGTAGTTTGCTTAGGTCTTGCTTCTGCATATGAATCCTTCCATAAGTTGTACCAAAAGTATCATGGGAGACATTTTTCTTCTTCTTTGGCTATGAAACAAGAATATATATATAAATAAATATGTATTTATTATGTATGTAATAGTATCGTCATAAACTGGTAAAAATCTAGTATACAACTATCTTACTAATAACTCAGAGCACCAATTGAATAATATAGTCTCTAACCCTATAGACCTTTCTTCTCAAACTTAAGTACATACAAATCCCTTGAGGATCTTGTTAAAACGCTATTATAAATCAACAGGTCTAGGGTAGGACCTGAGATTCAGCATTTCTAACAATTCCCAGGTAAACTGTCAGACCACACTTTGAAAAGCAACACTATAAACTATGCTAACCATTGTCATGCATTGAGAGAATTTCCTGTGTTTAGCTTAAGGAATTGTGACTATCATTTCAATCTTTATTGGCATTCCAGAGATGCCATTTCTACTTGTTTTTTAAAACCATTCAAAAGTCAAAATACATTTTATGCAAGTATGGGTTATATATACATCCTGTACTCTAAATCCCCAATCTCCACAATGCCCCAATTTTCTTTCTTGCTTAAAACTGGCAGTCTTGGCTACCAGAAAGCTCTTAGCCACAGCTGATGCATGGTTTCTACAACTCTTTTATTATCCTTTATGGTGGCTTATTTGCTTCTTCCTCCTCTTCTTTGTTCTGAGAGTCTAATTTTATCTAAATTATTGAGCTCTTTCTGTATGTTTAGTGTCCTATGCTGCAAATCTTTTTTGGAAAGAAGAGTGGAATATACAAATAAATATGGCACCAATCTGCAAGTTACAAACCTTGAGCGCTTTTGGCATTTTCATAGATAATTTATAAAGATCATCTGATGCCAGATGTGTCCTCCTCAGAACCAGATCCAATGAGGGCCCTATCTCTTCCAATTCAATCCTTGGTGTTCTACAACCAGATTTCTTCAACAGCAACCTTTATGAAGTAGAAAAAAAAGAAATATTGCTTTGACTTTGATGGAAGTCCTATTCCCTCAAACATTTTTCTGTAAGAGAATTACAGTTCCATAAAATGACACTGTCTTTAGGAGGCTAAGCTTCTTAAATACTGTCTGCATTTAGGCCAAGTATATTCTTTGGTTTGCTGCTTTTTAAAAATCGAACACAACGGGGCGCCTGGGTGGCTCAGTCGGTTAAGCGTCTGCCTTCGGCACAGGTCATGATCCCAGGGTCCTGGGATCGAGCCCCGCATCGGGCTCACTGCTCCGCGGGAAGCCTGCTTCTCCCTCTCCCACTTCCCCTGCTTGTGTTCCCTCTCTCTCCATGTCTTTCCCTGTCAAATAAATAAATAAAATCTTAAAAAAAAAAAAGTTTTAAAAATCGAACACAAAGAATACAATACTGTTGGGCGCCTGGGTGGCTCAGTCAGTTAAGCAACTGCCTTCAGCTCAGGTCATGATCTCAGGGTCCTGGGATCAAGCCCTGCATCTGGCTCCCTGCTCAGTGGGGAGTCTTTCTCCCTCTGACCCTCGCCCTACTCGTGCTCTCTTTCAACTAAATAAAATCTTAAAAAAAAAAAAAGACAATATTGTTGAGAAACAGCAAGTGAGACAGACCATTCTTCTAAGAAATTAAATCTTTTTTTTTTTTTCCAAAGATTTTATTTGGGACGCCTGGTGGTTCAGTCAGTTAAGAGTCGGCTTTTGGCTCAAGTCATGATCCCAGGGTCCTGGGATTGAGCCCTGCATCGGGTTCCCTGCTCGGCAGGGAGCCTGCTTCTCCTTCTCCCTCTGCCACTACGTCCTACTTGTGCTTTCTCAGTGTGTGTGTGTGTGTGTGTGTGTGTGTGTGTGTGTCAAATGAATAAATAAAATCTTTAAACAAATAAATAATAAAAATAAAAGATTTTATTTATTTGAGAAAGAGTACAAGTTGGGGGGTGGGGAGGCAGGGAAGCAGGGTCCCTGCTGATGATGATGCAGAGCTTGATCCCAGAACCTTGAGATCACAACCTGAGCCGAAGGCAGCCACTTAACTGACTGAGCCCCAGAAATGGAATCCTTTGATTTGACTTCTTCATCTTACTTACAGATTTACATAATTATAAAAACAATTTCAACTGTGCCTTTGAAATGTTACGTTTACATGATTAACACATTCTTATTTCTCTAAGACCCATTCAGAATCCACTTTTGTGCATAGTACAGACACTTACTGATCTCTATAGCTTGGAATGAACTTTAAAATCCTCATATAACGGGGTGCCTGGATGGCTCAGTCGGTTAAGCGTCTGCCTTCGGCTCAGGTCATGATCCCAGGGTCCTGGGATCGAGTCCCACATTAGGCTCCCTGCTCAGTGGGGAGCATGTTTCTCTGCCCCTCCCTGGCTTGTGCTATCTCTCTCTCTTTTGCTCACTCTCTCTCTCTCAAATAAATAAATAAAGTCTTTAAAAAAATTTTTTTAAGTAAAAAATAATAAAATCCTAATATAATAAAACCACAACTTTCTAGATTCTATATGTCCAAATAGCTCTGGATCTGGAAACAGATGAGGGACGCAGGCAGGAGAAGAGGAGACTAACAATCTCTTTTTGTGAATGATACCACAAGAACAGCTCAAAGACCTGAAGATTATTTGAGCTGACTCAATTTGTTCTAGTGGCCAGATCTCTACATGGAATAAGAGAATTAAATGAATAACAATGTTTATAAAAGATCAAACTTTGAGAAAAAAATGATCAAACTTTTCACACCAAAGGTGGAAAGTGAGAGAGGCAACCAATGACACGAGAGAAGAGACAGAACATGAGTAAAAGCTCAGTAAGGAAAACCCACAATCAACCAACTCCAGGAAGCAGAACAGAGTGTGCACAAGCTCATTAATAGCTTTTCGGGCCCCAAAAGCGTCACATGCAGACAGTCCACCCATGGGAGGTGCACCTACTGGCTGTTAAGAAGAGTCTTAATGATAGATACGCTGTATCAGACACAGTTATTTACACCAAACTGAACAAGACAAAAACAAAACAAACACCAACCCAGGATACATAAACAGCAAAAGTGTTAAACAATAAAAAAAGCTCACTAACAATAAAAGATAACATGAATATTAGTATGGGACTTAAAGGGAGCAGAGGGGAAAAGCAGAGGGGAAAAAAGCCAAAACAAGAGTGCTTAGGTAACTCTCTTCATTGTGGTTCCAGGAAAAGAGAGTTGAGGGTACACCTGTCTCAGGCCCATGGTGGAAGTTGGTGGTATTCAGGGCATCTTCCCTAAAAGCTGATTTAAAGCATATGGTGGGGGCGCCTGGGTGGCTCAGTCGTTAAGCGGCTGCCTTCGGCTCAGGTCATGATCCCAGAGTCCTGGGATCGAGCCCCGTATCAGGCTCCCTGCTCAGCGGGTAGCCTGCTTCTCCCTCTCCCACTCCCCCTGCTTGTGTTCCCTTTCTGGCTGTGTCTCTGTCAAATAAATAAATAAAATCTTTAAATAAATAAATAAATAAATAAATAAATAAAGCAAGCAAGCAAGCAAGCAAGCAAGCATATGGTGGCAGTGACTGTTTTAACTCATAACTCATGTATTTCTGCTTCTGCATCCACATTTTCAATACCTCCAGATAAATGATAATAAATATAAAGCTGAACTCATAACAAGATAAGTATCTTGATTAACATCTTGTGTTCAGTAGACTACTTAAGAAATCAGGGAAATTGTATATATAAAAATGGCAAACTAAAAGTGTTTCTACCACTTAGAATAATTTTCAGCTAAATAGAAAAGTTGTAGATCTAGAACAGCTCATTGCATGCCTGATGGATTCATATCACCCAAGTACCTTTTTTTTTTTTTTTTTAAAGATTTTATTTATTTATTTGAGAGAGAGAAAATGAGAGATAGAGAGCATGAGAGGGAAGAGGGTCAGAGGGAGAAGCAGACTCCCTGCCGAGCAGGGAGCCCGACGCGGGACTCGATCCCGGGACTCCAGGATCATGACCTGAGCCAAAGGCAGTCGCTTAACCAACTGAGCCGCCCAGGCGCCCTCACCCAAGTACCTTTTTATCTATGCAAGTATCCTCCTACCAAAGTAATTTTTTGAGTGTATATAATTAAGATTATTTCCAAATAACTACATACACACACACACACACACACACAATCTACGTATGCTGTTATTTACCAAAGAATTAAGTTACAGTGCCATATGTCTATGTAGGTAATCTTTCTTTTTTAAAGATTTTATTTATTTATTTGAGAAAGACGGCATAAGCCAGGGGAGCAGGGCAGAGGGAGAGGGAGAAGCAGACTCCCCACTAAGCAGGGAGCCCAACATGGGACTCAATCCCAGGACCCCAAGATCATAACCTGACCCGAAAGCAGACGCTTAACTGAGCCACCCAGGCGCCCCTGTGTAAACGATCTCATCTGAATTACTTCAATGGGCATGTTTATTGGCGGATCAAACTGACGGAATCAGAAGAAAACTTTCTCCAATTTTCAGTTATCTATGTATGGTTTCTGGTGATAGATCTATAAATTCTTTTTCTTTATCAAACTTTTAACAGTGAAGGGGCGCCTGGGTGGCTCAGTCGTTAAGTGTCTGCCTTCGGCTTGGGTCATGATCCCAGGATCCTGGGATCAAGCCCCGCATGGGACTCCCTGCTCGGCAGGAAGCCTGCTTCTCCCTCTCCCACTCCCCCTGCTTGTGTTCCCTCTCTCGCTGTCTCTATCTCTGTCAGTTAAATAAATAAAATCTTAAAAACAAAACTTTTAGCAGTGAAATCTAGAATCTAAAATTATTATTTTAGAATCTAAAATTGTTAATCTTTAAAAAAAACCAACTTGTTTACTTTTTCTCAGAGGGAATGCATTAATAAAGAACTTACAAATGATTTTTGTGATCACACTAAGCAAAGAAACTGACATTGACTCATTAAAAATAAAATTAAAACCTTTTCCTTTACACTCATCCCATCATACACACCACACTGTTTTTTAAAGATAAGACATTTCATTTCCAGGCCATCATGTCTCCAGCCAAATACCTACGCCCAAAACTGTTACATCATATGCCTATTAATCTCCGTCTCAGATCCTAACTTCAAGTTTTGTTTTGTTTTGTCTCCCTGTAAGCTCTAAATCAAAAGTGACATTCAATTCTGCAAGGTTCTATGGTACAAGATGCAGGGACGCAAAGACAACCCAACTCCTTCCTTCTCAAATGAGCTCAGGCTATTAGATATGTTGATGGGTAATTTTCATATATTTTAAAACCTTATTTGCCTATTTCTTGAGAAAGACTGCCATTACCACTCTTGTTCAAGTTGTAATTTCCCTATTTTTCTCCTTCCCATATCCCTCTCTCCTTGCCTACAATGCTGTTTGCTTGTTAAGGTACACTAATACTTCGTTTTGCATGTTTCTCCCCATAAAACCTAACCAATGTCATGGCAAAGGCAAATGTGGCAGTTACTAAAAATTTCCTGTTTTATATTCTTGGCTTTGACTTTATAGTGAATAAAAGTCTCCAAGGAATATAAATGGTCACTCATATAGGAGGAATTATTATATGATACATGGGAAGAGGTCAGTAACAATGACTTATTCCCCCCAAAAGGTCAGATCGAAGTTATATTAATATAATTTCATGTTTACACTTTTCATCCAAGAAACTCGAAGCCATTTTCTAAGATTAACCTTATTAACTTCACAAATAATGTGTATCAATGTTAACTATTACCTTTTACCAATTGCTTAAGTGCTGGTTCCAAGTAAAAGAAAGGGGGCAGGACACCGAAGAGTAGCCTGCAAGAGTGCCTAAGGAGCCACACTGTCAGACACACCTCTCCAGTATATTCCCACCTCTATCCACAACCCTCTCCCTCTTATAAATGAATTATTATTGATCTTAGAGGGACCACAGAATTACCTACATGGTATCACTACCTTTTGCAAAGGAAAAATGGAGGCCCTAAGCAGTGACCTGCCTAGATCATGTGGCTAAGCCTGGCCCAGAGCCAGCTCCCTGGGCTCAGAGGTGATGCTCATTCCTCAGACCACTTCCTTCCTCTCCCAAGGGCAGCACGGCCTCTGCAGACTAAGCTAATCTACATCGAATGATTTTTTTTTTCCCACTAGCAGCTTGCTCTCACTCACACAGTCCATTTTCTATTATAAATCAATAGCTAGCAGGTTATTATGGGACCCATATAAAACATCTGGGATTAAAATTACACTAGGGTGTCTGACCTCAAAAGTTCAAACTTTTTTTTTCATTATGGGACATGCCATGCTAACCTAATGGTGATTCCAGCAATTCTTCTTAAAGTAAGTGGATGAGTGGATATGTGTAATTACTGCTAATTTATCCATGTTCTGAAATCTGATTTACTAATTTTCTGTCCGTTTTATTTTCTCTGCATTTCTTTCTTTACAAATTAATCTTTCTTTTCACTAAATACAAGTTCTGATGTAAGTGAATTCTTTCTTTCTTTTTTAAGATTTTATTTATTTATTTTTGGGAGAGAGACAGACAGCAAGCACGAGCGGGGCAGAGGGAGTAGCAGACTCCCTGACGAGCAGAGTCTCCCTGATGCGGGACTTAATCCCAGGACCCTGGGATCATGACCTGAGCCGAATGCAGACGCTTAACTGATTGAGCCACTCAGGCGCCCTAAGTGAGTATCTTCTTTGAAACTGTTTACAATAAAAGAGTTTTAGATTACTGTTATTATTCACTTCTTATTCTCAAAGATTTTGATCTGTATATTTTTAGCTCCTTTGTATTCCCAGGGTGGGCTGACACAAGTTTTTGGTTTTTTTTTTTTAATATTTTATTTATTTGACAGAGAGAGAGAGACACAGCGAGAGAGGGAACACAAGCAGCGGGCAGTGGGAGAGGGAGAGGGAGAAGCAGGCCTCCCACGGAGCAGGGAGCCTGATGCGGGGCTCGATCCCAGGACTCTGGGATCATGACCTGAGCTGAAGGCAGACGCCCAACAACTGAGCCACCCAGGTGCCCCAAGACACAACAAGTTTTCAAAAAGATTTTTTTTAATGTTAGTGATTTTTCATCTTTCTTATTCTATAAATTGGAGTCATCTGCTTTGTAATATATTCTTCATAGCACCGTAGTTTGGAAACTCAAACAGACATAAGGCTTTCAATCTCAACAAGCTCAAAATGATTATAAAATCCCTCGTTTTAAAAAAATAAATAAAAAGTATTATAAAAATCTCTAACTACCTAAATATCTAAATATCATGTGGATATTTTATTGCATTTTGCTTACTATTGTTATTATCTAAACAAAAGGAAAATAGAAAAACAGAAGTGATGATACCAATCATGGTGAAAAGAACAAAGTATCTCTGACTCAATACAGTTGAAACAAAGATGCGAATTATTGACAAGAGGTGAATATTTAGTTTCATTTGGACATTCACTAACATAAGCTGGTCAACCAGATATTCATTGTGAAGAAAAAAACAAAATTAGGGGCCTGGCTGGATCAGTAGGTAGAGCATGTGACTCTTGATCTCAGGATCATAGGTTCGAGCCACACATTGTTGGTAGAGTTTACTTAAAAAAAAAAAAAAAAAATGTAGGGGCACCCGGGTGGCTCCACTGGTTATGCATCTGACTCTTGATTTCAACTTGGATCATGATCTGGGGTTGTGAGATTGGGCTCCATGTCAGACTCCGCTGCACTGACCATGGAGCCTGCTTGAGATTTCCTCTCTCCCCGTCTCCCTCTGCCTCTTCCCCCTCTGCACATGGGCACATACACACTCATTCTCTCTCTTAAAAAAATAATTTAAAAAATGTAAACCATGGATGAAATGCTGAAGTCCACAAATGGTTGCACATATTCCACTAACATACAGAAGGCACTGTCAACATTGAATGGTCAGTGGCTCTCAGGCTGCACTGGCATGCCATAACTCAAAAATGGACATCAGTCTGAATTCAATGTACAAAGGAAGGCAGTTTGTGGGAGTTGACATATTCTCCAGGAAAAGTGTGGGCTTGATCAGCCAGTGCCAACGCTTTATTTTAAAGAAGAAAAAAAAAATATATGTATATCATGATTACCTCACAAGGCACGATTGTAGCATGTCACTAAGCTTTTTAATGAAAACAAAATCAGTGTTAGGATTTATATTTATATTGTGGTAGAGGTAGGGCTAGACAGTCTAGGCTGGAGAAACAGGGTAAAATGAATCTAGCCACTGAATCTTTTTTTTTTTAATTTTTTATTTATTTTTCAACAGAGAGAGAGAGACAGTGAGAGAGGGAACACAAGCAGGGGGAGTGGGAGAGGGAGAAGCAGGCTTCCCACTGAGCAGGGAGCCCGATGTGGGACTCGATCCCAGGATCCTGGGATCATGACCTGAGCTGAAGGCAGACGCTTAACGACTGAGCCACCCAGACGCCCTAGCCACTGAATCTTATTCCTTTCAGACTCCAGTTTTTAGGTTCAGTTTTGAGATTTGCTTTGGCCTAAGACTTGTGGCTTGGTGCTCTAAATCCAGTCAAGAAAAAGAAGGAGGGGCACCTGGGTGGCTCAGTGGTTAAGTGTCCAACTCTTGGTTTCGGCTCAGGTCATGATTTCATGGGTCATGGGATCAAGCCCCATACTGGGCTCTGCAAGGTGTCTGCTTGGGACCTTCTCTCCTTCTCCCTCTGCCCTCCTCTCCACTTCTCAAATAAATAAAAGACCTTAAAAAAAAAAAAAAGAAAAAGAAAAAGAAAAAGAAAAGGAGATATTGCATAAAGTAGGGTCAAGACTGAATTAGTGTTCTAAGGTCAGAGAAGTGTAGCATCAGATGCTCTGGGGCCCTAGAAAAGCAGGGTTTCAGAGGAAGAAGTGAGCAAGGGAATGACAGATTTGGGGAAAAACACAGACCTGCTGTGCCACTGCTAGTTTGCAGACTCTCCAAACAAACTTTTGACCAAACACCAATTCTAAGTCTGAGCTCTACAAAGGTCACACTAAAATGCTAACCCTGGATTCAAAAATATGCTACAAAATGTACTTACTTATAGCTTCGAAAATAAATCTTCCCATTCAATGCAGTGAAGTGCAGAACATACTCTAAACCAGCCAGGCGGATATTTGGTACTGTGGGGCCTCTGAAGAAATCTGAAAACAAATTTGAGATTGTTTAAAAAAAAAAGACTAACATGCTTTTAAATTCAGTTACAGAAAGCCAGATTGCAAAATGCTCCATGTTGTATCAATACGTACCTAAAAAGATAAAAAGGTGGCACAAAAACTGATCCCTGAAGAATGTCTGAGAGTCTCACTCCTCTACCATTTAAGCTCATGACTTTGTGTGTTTAGTTCACTGAGTCACGTAATTTGTCAGTTTTGGGAAGTTCTCACTCTAAGCCAATGCTTAACATATGAGTATATCGTATTTATCATGCATATTAACTTTTTTAAAAATGTAAATCAGGGGCGCCTGGGTGGCTCAGTCGTTAAGCGACTGCCTTCGGCTCAGGTCATGATCCTGGAGTCCCGCATCGGGCTCCCTGCTCGGCAGGGAGTCTGCTTCTCCCTCTGACCCTCTTCCCTCTCGTGCTCTCTATCTCTCATTCTCTCTCTCTCAAATAAATAAACTCTTTAAACAACCCCACACACACACACACAAAAAAATGTAAATCAAAGCATAAAATTTTTTATCTATGAGACAGGTAGGTTAAGATGGCAAATTTCTATGGGGCGCCTGGGTGGCTCAGTCAGTTAAGCATCCAACTCTTGATTTCAGCTCAGGTCATGATCTTGGGGTCATGAGATCCAACCCTGCATAGGGCTCCACACTCAACATAGTCTGCTTGTCCTCTCTCTCTGCTCCTCCCCCTGCATTCTCTCAAATAAATAAATCTTAAACACACACACACACACACACAAAACAGCTGTTCAAACTTTGACTATTAAATCAAATTAGCCTTTGTTTTATGGTAGAGGCCAACACGGAAGCAATTCTAAGAAGAAATCTCAATTACATGAGCAGAGATAATAAACTAAAGTGTTAAAGCCAGAAAAGAACCACTGAGATCCATGAGTAGGCTGTTTTCCCACAGTGTGGTAGTCATATCACTGGTGGCACATGAGATGATCTTAAATGATACACAGGCAGATATAATTTACTATGTATTATTTATTTTATCAGATACCATTTTCCATTCATGGTAGAGACATAAAGTTTCCTTGTAAAAAAAGGAGTCAGGATAAAGAAACATCTCCAGTGAACAACACTAGGAATACTACATGGACTATGGACTCGGCTAAAGTTATGAAGGTAGCATGTGAATGAAAAAAGTTTGAAAAACAACAATCATTTTATCTTAACAAACAAACAAATTTCAAAGTCCTGTTCACTAGGGGCGCCTGGGTGGCTCAGTCAGTTAAGCATCTGCCTTCGGCTCGGGTCATGATCCCAGGGTCCTGGGATCAAGCCCCACATCCGGCTCCCTGCTCAGAGGGAGGCCTGCTTCTCCCTCTGTCTGCCGCTCCCCCTGCTGTGCTCTCTCTCTGTCAAATAAATTAAAAATCTTAAAAAAAAACTACAAACAATGACCAACCATGAAACAATTCCTATCACCCAGACTGTGATTTCCAAAATAATTTTTCAATTTTAAAAAAGTTCAGGGCTCCTTAGAGAAACAGCTGATTCCAGGAATGGAGCAATGAAAGTATAAGAGGAGTCTGAAACATCAAAGGGGCAATGAATTAAAATGTGTCTCAGAACATTGCCAAAAAGACTGACCCTAAAATGGGCAGGAATGATGGCTGAGATAAAGAGAGAGATTAATGAGTAAGATAAAAATAAAAACCTGGCTAAATACAAGTAAGGGGGTGAAGAGGCAGAAGAAAAATTGGTTATGGTCAGAAGGAAAGCCCTAGCTTGGACCTTTTCTCAATGGATCAATTCCAGGTAAAAATAAGGCCTCAAGCGTGCCTGTGTCCAGGAGTAAATATACTGAGAAAGGGCATAGAAGGCTAACCAGGGTTTTGATGGGAAAGACCAGGGGATCCAGAGTTAGAGAATAGATCAGATCCTGATTCTGCCACTTACTAGCTCTTTACTCTGGATAAGTAAGTTAACTGATCTCAATTTCTTCATCTACAATATTACCATAATAAACTGAATATTTGCCCCCACTACTCCTCCCAATCCCTACCAAATTCACATGTTAAAGTCCTAACCCTTAATGAAGCTATATTTGGGCCTCTAAGGAAGAAATTAAGGTTAAATGAGGCATGTCATAAGGTTGGGGTTCTGGTCCCATAGGACAGTATCCTTATAAGAGACCCTACAGGGGCGCCTGGGTGGCTCAGTCCGTTAAGCATCTGCCTTCGGCTCAGGTCATGGTCCCAGGGTCCTGGGATCCAGCCCACATCAGGCTCCCTGTTCCGCGGGAAGCCTGCTTCTCCCTCTCCCACTCCCCCTGCTTGTGTTCCCTCTCTCGCTGTGTCTCTCTCTGTCAAATAAATAAATCTTAAAAAAAAAAAGAGAGAGAGACCCTACAAAGCCGACACCTTCCCTCCTCTCTCTCCCTCCCTCCCTGCCACACACAGACATGAAGGAAAAGCCAGGTGAGCACATAGCAAGAAGGCAGTAAGAGTCCTCATCAGAAAAATCAGATCTTGGACTGTCCTTCAGCCACCAGAATTGGGGGAAAAAAAAAATTCTGTTTTTTAAGCCACCCAGTGTATGGTATTTTTTTAGCAGCCCAAGCAGACTAATATGATTACCTTTGCAAAGCTGCAGATTACCTGACCTAAACTATGGCAGCTATTTTCATCACTATATATTTTTCATGTGGAGTTAAGAATTAGGAAATGAAAAAGGTTAAAAAAATTAAAATGACCACTGATATAAAGAAAGGCAATAAGAAAAAAGTAACCCAGTTAGGCAGTTAAATTTTAAGATAGGCTTTAAAGGAACATTTAATAAAACTAACCTACTACTTGATTTACTACATCTTTGTATATAAGAAATAGTAATATTAAATAGTAACCATAAAAATTAGGATACACTGAATCTAAAAATAGATATTTACTGATTTTCTATAAAGCAAAGCAAGACCACTAAGATTAACTACAAATTTATACACTGCATAAGAAAGCAAACAGAAGCAAAATTCAGAATGAACAAAATGGGTACCTGGCATAGAAACACTGACGTTAATAAGTTAACTTTTCTTTCTGGCCAACTACAAAAAAAAAAAAAAAACTTCCTAAAAGGAAGCAAGCCCTTGATAAAATCCTCTTTCCCTGCTGTTCTACTTTATTTTATATGAACATAAACATACACCAAGGAGTCTACAGCTGGTCTTACTTCATATTTATATTAAAAACTCAACTTCCCTTAGGACCTAACAATCTCACTTCATTCCTCTACCTTTCTTCTTCCCCAAATTCCTTTTGGGTTTTCACTCCCTCCCCTTCACCACTGCATTATGTGGTTATTCCTGCCATCTAGTGGAAGCACGAAATAATAAAGTTCTCATAAAAACTACTTAAAAGCAAACAAAAGCCTTCTCTGTTTTAATAAATATATATTGACAGTTGATAATTATACATAAGAACTAGGGGAAAAAAGGCAGAAAATCTGAGCCAATGGAGTACAAGAACAAGAAATTCAGGCTAAAAACCACCCTTGATATTCTGGGGCGTGTGATATTGAAAAAAGGAAATGTTGGTCATTGTCTTTCATTAATGGTGTTTGTTTGTTTGTTTGTTTTAGTTCATGAAAAATTCAGGTCAGAACCTACAGCAAAGACTGCAACGAGTCAGTTGTTAAGCATGGCGAGACGGGCGGCAGAGGCGGAAAAGCTCAGCCTTTGGTTTTCATTTTGGCCCACCTACTTAATAGCTCTGCGTGTCTCTAACCTTCCATTTTTCCATCTGTAAAATGGAGTATCGCTAAACTCAAGAGCTTTAGTAAGGACTCAACTGAGCAGTACTCAGTTCTTTAAAACACAGCCATTTTTTTAAAGTAACTTCTACACCCAACATGGGGCTTGAAGTGACCCCGAGATCAAGAGTCTGATGCTTTACCAACTGACCCAGCCAGGTGCTCCCAAAATAGCCATTATTAGTAAGAGAAATGAAAAGTTTTGGAAATTGCAATCCCAACAATAAGACCATAAATAATCACAACAAGGAAAAATGAAAGCAATGTGTCTGCCCACAAATGTTTTTCAGTTGGCCCAGATTTGTTTTTTGGTTTTTTTTTTAAGACTTATTTATTTATTTTAGAAAGAAAGAGAACACAAGCGGGGAAAAGGGCATAGGGAGAGAGAATCCTCAAGCAGACTCCCCACTGAGCACAGAGCCCAACACAGGGCTCAAAACCAGGACCCTGAGATCATGACCTGAGCCAAAATTGAGAGTCAGCTGCTTAACTGACTGAGCCACACAGGCACCCCCCAGTTGGTTCAGGTTTGTAAAGAGCATGTATACAATTTAATTTACTTATAACAGGCAGCTCTTCCTGCCCATGGGTTCTGTCCCTGTGCTTTAACAAAAACACTTTTGCACCGAAAAAAAAAAAATAGAACAACTTATTTATAACATATACTCCATCAACTTTCCAAAAGTGATCTAGGGCAAAGTATATCAAAATCCAAAAGAAGGACAACCAAAAAACTGTAGCAAAGCTTGTAAGAATGGTCAAGAAGGGACACCTGGGTGGCTCAGTTGGTTAAGCGTCTGCCTTTGGCTCAGGTCATGATCCCAGAGTTCGGGGATCGAGTCCTACATCAGGCTCCCTGCTCAGTGGGGAGTCTACTTCTTCCTCTGCCTGCCGCTCCCCCTGCTTGTGCTCTCTTTCCTCTCTCTCTCGCTGACAAATAAATAAACAAAATCTTAAAAAAAAAAAAAAAAAGAGGGGCGCCTAGGTGGCTCAGTCAGCTGGGCATCTGCCTTCGGCTCAGGTCATGATCCCAGGGTCCCAGGATTGAGCGCCACATCGGGCTCCTTGATCAGCTGGGAGCCTGCTTCTCCCTCTCCCTCTGATGCTCCCCTGTTTGTGCTCTGTCTGTCGAATAAATAAATAAAATCTTAAAAAAAAAAAAAAAAAGAATGGTGCAAGGAAAGCTCAGATGGAATAAATTACTTAAACTTGAAAAACTGCTGCTGTATAACAGAAGAGTTTATATCTCTAGGGACGAACTAAATTACTTTCCAGAGTTAGAAAAGAGCTGGCAAAAGTGATCACAAAATATTTAGTAGGATTAATATTAGCAACCTTTAAGAAATTACAGAGAACAATAATGCCAGCTTTTCAAAAAACAGGAGAAAAAGTGATTTAAAATAGGTAAATTTAACGTCAATCCCAGATAATGACAATAACTGTATACTGGACTTTAAGAAGGTGACTTGTGAACACAAAAGAAAAGATGTAGTCATTACATAAATCATTAGGAACTAATGTAGTTCACTAAGAATAAGTCATCTGTAAGACAATTTTACAAGGTCATGAGAATAAAGCAATACATATAAAGTACTTAGTACATGCTTGGCACTTAGGATGACAATGATAATGAGATAAAAGGAGCTGGGAAGTCACTGAAGGTTTCCTGGGGAAGAAACTTGATCTAAAACTTGCAAGAATAAAAGAAACTAGGTAAGTAAGAATGAAATCAGAAAAGACAATAGGAAAGTGCATGATATATTTTCAATAAACCACTTTTTTAATGGAAAAGAGGGAGGAAAGTGGGAGAGAGAAAAAACAAAACAAAACAAGTTATAAGGGGTTATAGTGTAAAAAGCCTTGCACATCAGCCTAAGAAAAATTAATAGAGGTTTTTGAGTTCGAAGCTGATGATGTATAACAATCTTGAAAATTAAACTTTCCAATTTTCTAAATTTAATGATGCCAATGACAGGAAATGGGTTTTATAAAATGCTTTATAAATAGCTTGATACTGAAGTTACTATAGCATCAAAAAATAATAATGGTCTATGCAATATAGCATCCCTTAACCTCTCCCCTGCTAGTGCGGAATAAAACAAAAAATGAAAAGGGGGAAAAATGAAATCAAAAAGAAAAAGCTGTGTACCTACAGTGAAGTGGCAAAGTGTCACCAATGACAGTCCTAGATTGCCTACCTCACCTATCCTGGGGATAATAAGTATTAAAATGCTTACCAATAAGAAGACTTTTTAGCCTTCTGTAGTCTTCTGTTACATCAAAATCATCACCAGCAAATATTAACATGGGTTTTGTTCCCTCGGGACATTTACTATTCTATGAAATGGAAAAAAAATTATAATGATATAATTATCAATTAAACTGTTTATAAGCTGGTTTTAAAGTAGTCAATACTTACATACAGTGATTAGTTCTCATATTTTGACTGTCCTAAAACTATGTTTATGAATATTGATTAAAATCTAAAGACTTGGGGCGCCTGGGTGGCTCAGTCGGTTAATCATCTGCCTTCAGCTCAGGTCATGATCCCAGGGTCCTGGGATCGAGTCCCGCATTGGGCTCCCTACTCGGTGGGGAGTCTGCTTCTCCCTCTACCCGTATCCACTGTTCATGATCTCTCTCTCTCTCTCTGTCTCTCAAATAAAATCTTTAAAAAAAAAAATTAAGACTTAAAACTACAGTTGCAACTTTTAAACTAAAATAGTTGTTTCATTCCCTCACATTGTCAAATAAGTGGTCAAAGAATGACTCAAAGAATAAAATAAAAAGCTAAAATTGCTGCAAAACATACATAGCCCTTTAACAGCCAGCATCTCAGAGTCTAAACAAAGTTAATTTCTTTGAATTATTTACTACCACTGTACCTTTACCTACTATATCACATAAACAGTATTTTAGGGGCACTTGGGTGGCTCAGTCTGTTAAGCAGCTGAGGTCATGATCCTGGGGTCCTGGGATTGAGTCCCACATCAGGCTCAGCGGGGAGTCTGCTTCTCCCTCTCTCTCTGCCCCTCCTCCCTCTTGGTGCATGCGTGCATGCTCCTCTCTCTCTCTCTCTCACTTGCTCTCTCAAATTTTTAAAAATTTTTAATAAACAGTATTTTTAAATGAAAGCTAATTGAAACTACCAACTAAACAGGGGCGCCTGGGTGGCTCAGTCGTTAAGCGTCTGCCTTCGGCTCAGGTCCTGAGGATCAGGTCCTGAGGATCAGGCCCCGCATCGTGCTCCCTGCTCAGTGGGAAGCCTGCTTCTCCCTCTCCCCCCCCCCCCCCGCTTGTGTTCCTTCTCTCGCTGTGTCTCTATCAAATAAATAAAAAATCTTAAAAAAAAAAAAAAACTACCAACTAAACATTCACATGAGAAGCAACAGAATTTTATACAAGCTATAGAAAGTATGAGCAAACCTTACTCAGCATGATTGAAACTCTTACTATAAAAGTACTTTGTCCCGTTTTGGGTTTTTTTTTTATACAAAGAATAACATGATGTGAATAATAAGAATCTTTAAAAGCCACAAAAATAAAAGAAGAAAAAAATTCTTTAACTGAATGATTAATTTCTGAAGGCAAACGGGTGTTAGTCTGAGCTTTCCGTTGATTCTAGCACCTCTACTCTGGTTCCAATCAAGGACTGCACAAATCTAGAAATAAACAAAAACTGGACAAGAAAACAAACATCCTCTGCCCTAGGACCAGAGGTCACGTTGCTTCCCTGTTCATCATGACCACTTTTGTTGACACTCTCTGCTTCCAAACTCTGAACCTTAACTGTCTATATTTAGGAGGTGTGCCTAAGATCGTCTGCGTGCTCTAGGGCCTGAAGGAACCTACCAGACCCAATGACTCTTCCACTTACTGTCTGTGCCGACCTGACCCTGCTACTTCTACCCCTATGTCTATGGGGTTTAAGTATACAGAAGGTAGGAGAAAGTGATGCGACATCCTGACTACAATGCATAGTAATAAAAAAAAAAATCACGTTTAGTCATGACCTGGTATACACATCATAAAAATACGAGGGGGCACCTGGGGAGCTCAGTAGGTCAAGCGTCTGCCTTCTGTTCAGGTTATGATCCTAGGGTCCTGGGATCGAGCCCCACGTAGAGCTCTCCACTCAGCAGAGGGCCTGCTTTTCCCTCTCCCTCTGCCCCTTCCCCCTCCCACTCATGCTCTCTGTCTCTCACTCGCTCACTCTAGCTCTATATCTCAATAAATAAATAAATAAAACCTTTAAAAAAATATGTAACTGAACAAGTTATATGAAACAGTACTTAACATTTAGATCACTGATATTTTTCACAATGTGAAAACCCAGAACTAGAAGAAAATACAACAGATGAGCTTTATTTGAATAGTATAAAAGACACTAAAAATTCAAATACTATATAAGTACTGTGATTATAGTATACTAAAAACATCATAATTATGTGACATCCTTGAACTAATCTTCTGAATTTTTTTTCTTTTTTAAGATTTATTTATTTGAGAAAGAGCGTGAGCCCAGGGAGGGGCAAAGGGAGAGAGAAACTTTAGCAGACTCTGCACTGAGTACAGAGCCTGAGGCGGGGCTCAATCTTATGACCCTCAGAGATTATGACCTGAGCTGAAACCAAGAGTTGGATGCTTAACCTACTGCACTACTCAGGGGCCCCTGAATTAAGTTTTGTTTTTAAACAAAGGGAAAAAATTCTTACAAATCATACACAAACTTTCCAAATAAAATATCTCCAGGCAATTGCAATGTATCTTATCCTATCTAAAATAAAACCAACTAGCCTTAAATTTTAATCATCTCATTCATTAAGGCTCATTTTATGTAAAATAACCATCCCTAGAAGTTTGGCCACATCTTAGAAAATAGACTCCTACAATAATCACTCAATTTCCTGGTAGAATCGAATCACCTGTTGCTTGAGAGTAAACAAAAGGATGAGGCTTGGCTTGGTAATAAAAGTAGGCAAGTGAGAAAAGAAATACTGGTGAAAAAGTCTTAAAAATAAAGAGGTAGGGGCGCCTGGGTGGCTCAGTTGTTAAGTGTCTGCCTTCGGCTCAGGTCATGATCCCAGGGTCCAGGGATCGAGCCCCGCGTCGGGCTCCTTGCTCCGCAGGAAGCCTGCTTCTCCCTCTCCCACTCCCCCTGCTTGAGTTCCCTCTCTTGCTGTGTCTCTCTCTGTCAAATAAATAAATAAAATCTTAAAAAAAAAAAAAGAGGTAGATGTAAAAAGGAAATAAATATGAAAAGATAACAAACATGCAATTCCCAAAACAAACTAAAAATAGAAGGTTATAATGGAATAATGAAGTAAAAGTGAAGGTCCGGTTAATAGTCTATGGGTGGGGGGGAGGGGGGGCGCCTGGGTGGCTCAGTCAGTTGAGCGTCTGCCTTTGAAGGAGGTCATGATCCCAGGGTCCTGGGTTTGAGCCCCAAGTCCAGCTCCCTGCTCAGCAGGAAGCCTGCTTCTCCCTCTCCCCACTGCTCACGTTCTCACTCTCTCAAATAAATTAATAAATAAAATTTTTTTTTAAACTTAAAAAAAAATAGTCTATGTAGGAATTGCCAATGTAAGCATACCATCATCAATTAGTGACTTTAAGAGTTAATGGTTATGCTCCATGAGTGAAAATTTAGTATTCAATTTAAATGGTTCTTGTTTAGAATGAGATCTGACAATAATGGTTTTGTGGTCTGGTACAGAAGCTACAAAGTAACGAAAGTACTCCTTTGCTTAGGAAGTGAAATACAAAGAGTGGAGGGGTTGGCATGCTCCCATCCGCCAGTGTTCACACCCACTAACTGCTGACCAAGTAGCAGCAGTGGTGAAGGTAAAATGGGGATATGGGGCTCATCTCCAAGAATTCATGCACTGTCCTAAAGACAAACTGTAATAGATGAGCTTCCACCACAATAAAACATCACAGTTTATACACTTTCCCAAACACCTTCTAAAATATTATCTTCACTAACTAGTATTTCCACATATATTATCTCTTTTGAATACTTATTTATTTTTCTTAAAGATTTATTTATGTATTTGAGAGAGGGGGAGAGTGAGAGCAGGGGGAGAGGCAGAGGGAGAGGATCTCAAGCAGACTGCTTGCTGAGCACAGAGCCCAACAAGGCTTGATCTCACAATCCTCAGATCATGACCTGAGGAGAGATCAAGAGTCAGATGCTGACCAACTAGGCCACCCAGGCACCCCTGGTATTATTATACCTTTTTAATACTTGATTGCAATTGAGGGTCAAGGGAGTAACTGACTTGTCATGTCACAAGTCATCTAAATGGCCAACACAGGCCTTCAACCCAAATGTTCTGCCTCTAAATCCAATCTCAGGCCACTGTTCTACCTTGTACCTGAAGAAGCTGCTATAGCTAAGTCCGGATCTGGTAAGTGGCTTTTTCAAACCCACAGAAAACTTGGAATGCATGTTCTCTTTTTAGGGGAGACTAGGGAAAGGAGTCATTATATATTTTACAATTCTTTCAACTACACCATGACCCTCAAAGACCCATAAACTAAGAACAATTATGTAACTTTCCATTATAAACTTCAATATTCATTCTTTCAATGTTCATGGTTATACCATTTACTATATGTATGACTCCAGGTCACCAACAGAATTCCTCTGGGCCTTGATCTCCAACTCTACATAACAGAGAAAGTAATTTCAGCCTTACACAGGGGAGCTATGAAGTCTAAATAAAATAACTATTTGATGGAATATTTGATGGGACAGATTAAGCCAGAAGCAGAATTCTGAAGGAGTAGAAGCCCAATTTGGACCCAAGAACTGAATTAGCAGTTTCCTTGCCTTTCTAAGACTATTTACCACTATTTTATAATACCATTTAAACAAAGGAGACTCAAAGATGCAAGTCCTAAAGGAAAGGACTAAACTAGCATTTTGGTGGCCAGCAGCCTAAATACTGTAGGATCAGCTAAAGCATCCTAGGTTTAGAACAGGGTTCACTTTGGGGTAGCTCAGGGAACAGGTTCACTAAGCCTGGGTGGCGTAGTCGTTAAGCATCTGCCTTCGGCTCAGGTCATGATCCCAGCGTCCTGGGATCAAGCCCCACATCGGGCTCCCTGCTCAGCGGGAAGCCTGCTTCGCCCTCTCCCAATCCCCCTGCTTGTGTTCCCTCTCTCGCTGTCTCTCTGTCAAATAAATAAATAAAATCTTAAAAAAAAAACAAACAGGGTTCACTTTGAAAACTCTGGTATTGGGGCACCTGGGTGGCTCAGTTGGTTAAGTGTCTGCCTTCGGCTCAGATAATGATCACAGGGTCCTGGGATCGAACCCCGTGTTGGGCTCCCTGCTCAGCAAGGAGTCTGCTTCTCCCTCTGCCTCTCCCCTCACCCCCCACCACCGGTTGTGCTCTCTCTCTCTCACTCACTCTCTCTCTCAAGTAAATAAATACAATTTTTTTTTAAAGATTTTATTTATTCATTTGACAGAGAGAGACACAGAGAGAGGGAACACAAGCAGGGGGAGTGGGAGAGGGAGAAGCAGGCTTCCCGCTGAGCAGGGAACCCGATGTGGGGCTCGATACCAGGGTTCTGGGATCATGACCTGAGCTGAAGGTACACGCTTAACCGACTGAGCCACCCAGGTGCCCCTAAATAAATAAAATTTAAAAAGACAAGAAAACTCTGGTATTTATGAGGTTCTATAAAATAGGTACTGTGCCAATTCAGAGGGATGGGCCCAGACAAGAGCTAATAATCGCTCTGAAGTCTAACTGCCAGAAGATCCACGTGTTATATGCTGTAAATAAATACTTTTTAAAGTAAAGATAAAGGGGCGCCTGGGTGGCTCAGTCATTAAACGTCTGCCTTTGGCTCAGGTCATGATCCCAGGGTCCTGGGATCGAGCCCCACATCAGGCTCCCTGCTCAGCGGGAAGCCTGCTTCTCCCTCTCCCACTGCTTGTGTTCCCTCTCTCGCTGTGTCTCTCTCTGTCAAATAAATAAATAAAATCTTAAAAAAAAATAAAGATAAAATGAAATTTGCTTTTATCTCAGCACACTAGGATAAAAAATAAAGTTCTTTATTTAAGGTATAAAACTGTAACAGTACTCTTCACCACAAGATGTCACTATTGCCAAAGAGCAATATAACAAAATGCCTTGTATTTTTATGCTGAGTATCTTACCTTAATATCTTTTAGAGAGACAAACTTCTCGATACCCAACTCAATCATATCCAGCACGTGGTAGTCATACATACGACCTAGAAGGAAAACACATTTTCTTTTAAACATTTATTTTTCCCAAACAGCCACCTTATATGTACCCACTTAATCTGCATGTTCAAAATGTTAGTCTCTGCCTCTTTTTTCCCCTCACACCCCACCAAACACGTCCCCTCTTTCTTAAACTTTCAACTCTATCTAGAATAGACTGTTACAATCTTGGCCCTGAAAGAATCTTGGAAATTACTGAGCCAAACTCCCTGATTTTATATAAGAGTAAATAAAGGCCCACAGAAGGAAAAGGGCTTGCTTACACCAGTGACCATGCCAGACCAAGTGCAATACTTACCAGGGAAGGGTTCATTTATGTGGGTAGGTATGTTACTTTGTGTTTTTTTCTCTAACACAGATTTAAGGTACATATATTTTATATCAGGAAAGTATCTGCAACTTTAGGTAAAGTAATATTTACATGCCCATTGTTTACTTGCAATCTGATAGATAAAAACTTTTATTCAAAGTCACAAGGAAAATTTTAAAAAACTAGCTTAGAGCTTACTTGTTACTCCTGAATCCTCAACACCATCAATTAATCTGAGTCACAAAACTGACTCTGTAAATAACAATATTAGAAAGTAAGTGATAGGGGCATGTGGGTGGCTCAGCTGGTTAAAAATCTGCCTTTGGCTCGGGTCATGATCCCGGAGTCCCAGGATTGAGCCCCACATCAGGGTCCCTGCTCAGTGGGAAGTCTGCTTCTCTCTCTCCCTTTGCCCCTCCCCCTGCTCCTTCTCTCTCTCGCTCGCTCACTCTCTCACTCAAATAAATAAGATCTTTAAAAAAGGGGCACCTGGGTGGGTCAGTTGTTAAGTGTCTGTCTTCGGCTCAGGTCATGATCCCAGGGTCCTGGGATCGAGCCCCACATGGGGCTCCCTGCTCCACCGGAGGCCTGCTTCTCCCTCTCCCACTCCCCCTGCTTGTGTTCCCTCTCTCGCTGTCTCTCTGTCAAATAAATAAAAAAATCTAAAAAAAAAAAGAAAGTAAATGATATTTACCTATTACTAGATTATTTGGCCGCTTCTTATTATGGGAGCCAAACATAAATAAAGAACAATCTGACTTCTTTGAAAAGAATTCCTGTAAAACCAAAAAAACTCTAATTAGTGCATTAATATAAGAACTTTAAGAATCATACCTCCGAACTTTAAAAAAAAGTAATGAATACTTAATGAACTAGACAGGAATAAGCAGAGGAAAGGGACTTTATTTCAAGCTTTTTATTTCAATTTTTCTGATTCTGGGGTACCCTAGGGAAAAGAAGTAAGTTTAAGACTAAAAATATGTTGAAAAGTTTAAATTAATAAATAAAACGAGACTATTTATTCTCACCGATGCAGTTTTGAAACAGCACACTAAGTATTTCATTTGCTGAACAAATGCCTTTATTCATTAGACATTACTGCTACCATCAATGGTACATCTTACCATGCATTTAAAATACACATGAAGGGCACCTGGGTGGCTTAGTTGGTTGGGCGACGCCTTCGGCTCAGGTCATGATCCCCGAGTCCCGGGATCGAGTCCCGCATCGGGCTCCCTGCTCTGTAGGGAGTCTGCTTCTCCCTCTGACCCAACCCCCTCTCATGCTCTCTCTCTCTCTCATTCTCTCTCTCAAATAAATAAATAAAATCTTAAAAAAAATAAAATAAATAAAATACACATGAATAGGGGCACCTGGGTGGCTCAGTCGGTTAAGCCTACAACTGTTGTTTTTTTAAGATTTATTTATTTATTTGAGAGAGAGCGAGCGAGTGAGAGCACATGCACAAGCAGAGGGCAGGGGCAGAAGGAGAGGGAGAAGCAGACTCCCTGCTAAGAGCAAAGCCCAACGCAGGGCTCAATCCCAGGACTCCGAGATCATGACCTGAGCCAAAGGCAGCAGCTGCTTAACCAACTGAGCCACCCAGGAGCCCCTAAGCCTCCAACTCTTGATTTCAGCTCAGGTCATGATCTCGTGTCAAGCTCTGCGCTCAGCAGAGTGTGAGTATGGAGACTACTTTAAAAAAAAAAAAAGTTTCTTAAGTGTCCAAATAAATTCCAAATAAATGAAAATGCTTTCTTAAAATGTTTTTCTTTTTACATTCTCTTACTATGACTAACACCCCAAAGCTATTCATGAACTACCTTTCACATATATATATAGTACTCATCTCTATTGTTCTTCTCCATAAAAAGTCCACTTTTTGTTATAATTCTAGAGCAAGCATAGTCAAATTATCTGCAAAAGGCCAAATAGTAAATATTTTTAGGCCTCTTACATGCTTCTATAAAGAAACCCTTTAAAAATACAAAAACCATTCTTAGTTTATGGTTCTCACAGAAACAGGGATTTGACCCATAGGAGGTATATTTGCCAACTCTTGTTCTAAAGCACAGTTCCAAAATTGTAGTATAAGAAATGTGCTACTGAAAAAAAAAAAAAAAAAAAAAAGAAGTGCTACTGGAGGGATACATGGTCAGGAGAAGGAATTCAACCACATTTCAAACATGACCACTGTTTCCACAACTATTGTGAGCTTTAGTAGTCTGAGATTTTCTCCATCCAGTGAAATATCTCCTATCTCTGGAGGTGGGATATCAAAAAGAGGAAAGTCACAATTTCAAGTGTAAGAAAAACTGTCATATCAAAACGAGACTGAAAAAAAAGTACAGAGGGGCTCCTGGTGGCTCAGTCAGTTAAGCATCTGCCTTGGGCTCAGGGTCCTGGAATGGGGCCCTGCATCAGGCTCTCCGCCCAGCGGGGAGTTCTCCCTCACCCTCTGCCGCCCTCCCCTTGCTTGTGCTCTATCAAATGAACAAAATCTTTAAAAAAGAAAAAGTACAGAATGCTACAGATTCTACATCACAACACTGCTACAAAGTGGTCACTCAACTAAAAGCACCATGGTGCCAAAACAAAGCAAGCCCTTGATAAGCAGTATATGAAAGAGACAATGTTGGGTTAGAGCCCTTATTTTCAATTTCATAATCTCTTCAACAATGACTGTGAAAAACCCAAGACTATAATGAAAGTAATTTTGTAAAAAACTGAATATTGGGATGCCTAGGTGGCTCAGTTGGTTGAGCATCTGCCTTTGGCTCAGGTCACGGTCCCAGGGTCCTGGGGTCGGGCTCCGCATCAGGCTCCCTGCTCAGTGGGGAACCTGCTTCTCCCTCAGCTCCTCTCCCCACCCCACTCCTCGTTCTCTCTCTCCCTCTCAAATAGAATCTTTTTAAAAAAATTTTTTAAAAGGGCACCTGCGTGGCTCAGTTGGTTAAGCATCTGCCTTCAGCTCAGGTCATGATCCCGGAATCCTGGGATCAAGCCCCACATCAGGCTTCTTGCTCAGTGGGGAGCCTGCTTCTCCACCTGCCCCTCCCCCTGCTCATGCTCTCTCTCTCTCTCTCCCTCCCTCTCTCTCTCAAATAAATAAAATCTTTAAAAAAAATTTTTTAGGGCGCCTGGGTGGCTCAGTTGGTTAAGCGACTGCCTTCGGCTCAGGTCATGATCCCAGGGTCCTGGGATCGAGTCCCACATCAGGCTCCCGGCTCAGCGGGGAGCCTGCTTCTCCCTCTGACCTTCTCCCCTCTCATGCTGTTTCTCTCTCTCTCTCTCAAATAAATAAATAAAATCTTTAAAAAAAAAAATTTTTTTAAACCCTGAATATTGATTTTTCTTAATATGTTATAATTTTCAATGCAGTCAGTTGCTACATTAGGAGAAGATGTTCAATTTTAGTCTTCTAATTAATTAATGAGATTCTATTCAAAAGTTCTTTCTTTTAAATTCACTAACTAGGGGCGCCTGGATGGCTCAGTCAGTTAAACATCTGAGTCTTGATTTCAGCTCAGATCATGATCTGAGGGTCCTGGGATCGAGCCCCATGTCAGGATCCACGCACTGAGTGGGGAGTCTGCTTAAGGTTTCTCTCCCTCTCCCTCTCCCTCTGCTCTTCCCCCCTGCTCATGTGCATGCATGTGCATGTTCCCTTTCACTCTCTAAAATAAATAAATCTTTAAAAAATAAATGAATTCACTAACTAAAAGGAAAAACAAGTAATGGTGTTCCCCTCAAGAGAACATGATCCCATTCTTTTTTTCAATATCTTTTAATCTTTTTTTTATTTAAGTAAGCTCTATGCCCCATGTGGGGCTTGAACTCATAACCCAGAGATTAAGAGTCAAACGCTCTGACTGAGCCAGCCAGGTGTCCCCCATTCTGACTTTTTTTAAGTCAATTTAGTTTAAACCACTTATTCTTTTAAGGTTTTCTTTAGAAAGAAAGCAGTATCATCACATACCCAAAGTCCATTCATCATTCACCATTTATTATATACCATCCTTTATCTTTTGATTTTATTCACTAGCCTTTTTCATTTAGTTTGGTTGCCAATACACTCAAATAGGAATTTTAGTAAAGCAACTGACAATTGTTAGCAGTAATTCAGGTCGCAGTCCTTGTTCTAAAAATATCCAAAGAAAGAAGTCAGATTTTTAAAAATCAAACTTGCTTTATAAGAACAGACCTGTAACAAGCTTCCTTTTGATAATCTATTAATTATGCACATAAAATATAATTCAACTTTTAAAAATTCTGTCGATATACTTACAAGCAGTGAATACTGGTCAAAGTAAAATATGAGATCTATAGTCATATTTTTGAAAGTGTGAAAGTCTTATTTCCCCTCCAATTTACATTAAAATTCCCTCATATAGGATGATTTCTAGTTCAGAAACATCACAAATTAGGAGTACTAAAGGAGCAGTGATTAGTCTGAATAATCATTTACATGCTCTCTTAAATCAGAAAGATGCTTGGGGTGCCTGGATGACAAAGTCAGTTAAGCGACCGACTCTTAGTTTCAGCTCAGGTAGTGATCTCAGGGTCCTGGGATCAAGCCCCATGTTGGGTTCCACACTCAGCACAGAGTCTGCTTGAGATTCTCTCTGCCTCTTCCATTGCCCCTCCCCTCAGCACATGCATGCTTTCTCTAAAATAAATAAACTTAAAAAAAAAAAAAGATTCAGGGTGCCTGGGTGGCTCAGTCAGTGAGTGTCTGCCTTCAGCTTGGGTTGTGGTCCTAGGGTCCTGAGATCGAGCCCCACGTAGGGCTCCCTGCTCAGCGGGAAGTCTGCTTCTCCCTTCCCCTCTGCTGCTCCCCCTGCTTGTGCTCTCTCGCTCTCTGTCAAATAAATAAAATCTTTAAAAAAAAAAATTCTTCACATTCTGCGTGGAGCACTGGGTGTTATGCACAAACAATGAATCATGGAACACTACATCAAGAACTAATGATGTAATGTAGGGTGATTAACATAACAATAAAAAATTTTTTAAAAATAAAATAAAATTCTTGTACTCACCAATGATGTCTGATCCTCAAATGGTCTTGTAATGTTTTTCCTAAGAATATTTTAAAAGGTGGCCTTAATTTTAATAATCTTAATAGCAATTCACCCATAACAATTAAGTAATATATTAAATAAAGACAATTTTATATTCAGATGATCAAAAGTAAAGCTGGAGAGATATTCATTCATTCAAATATGTATTTAGTGCCTGTTATGTACCAGGCACTGTTTTAAGAGCTAAGGATCCTGGAAAACAAATCAGACCCTTGCTTTCATGGAGACTACATTCTAGTGAAAAAATAAAAATTTCAAAAGTAACTGTAGTGACAAAAATAAAATAGGGTATTCTATTAGTATGAAGAGAAGAAAATGACTACTTGAGCTGAGATCTGATAGATAAGCAATAAGTCACTGAAAAGTTTTGAGGCTAAGAGTATTCTAGGAAGAAGGAACAGAATAAGCAAAGATCCTGAGATGGAAACAAGCTTAGACTATTCAAGAAATGGAAAGAAGGCAAGTGTCACTGAACTTAGTGTGCAAAGGGAAAACGGTGGGGCATGAGGCCAAAGATGAAGACATGGCCCAGATTATGTAGGGCCTTGTTGATCAAGGTAAGGAATGTAGATATTAATAAAGTAATGGGAAGCACTGAAGAGTTTCAGGCAGGAGTGATAAGATCAGACTGAAATTTTCTTTTTATTTATTTTTAAAGATTTTATTTATTTATTTGAGAGAGAAAGAGAGCACAAGCAGGGGGAGGGGCAAGGGAGAAGCAGACTCCACATTGAGCAAGGAGCCCAATGTGGGGCTCGATCCCAGGACCCTGGGATCATGACCTGAGCTGAAGGCAGCTGCTTCACCAACTAAACCAACCAGGTGCCCCTAAAATTTTCTTTTTCTTTTATTTTTTAATATATTTTTTAAGATTTATTTATTTATTTGACAGAGAGAGAGAGTGAGCACAAGCAGGGAGAGCGGCAGGCAGAGGGAGAGGGAGAAGCAGACTCCCCACTGAGGAGGGAGCCCGATGTGGGGCTCGATCCCAGGACCCTGAGATCATGACCTGAGCCGAAGGCAGATGTTTAACCGACTGAGCCACCCAGGCGCCCCTAAAATTTTCTTTTTAAAGGACTGTCTGTCTACTATGTGAGAATGCAATGTAGTATGGCAAGAATGAAGAGAGTAAGAAGCTATTGCAGTAATCCAGAAGGGAAAGAAAAAAATGGTGCATTGGACCAGGAAAATTAGTAGTAGAGCTGGAGAAGCAGTGGGTAAAACATGCTATCTTTCATGCAAAAAGGAAAGAAATACAAATAAATATTTTTCTTTGCTTAAACATGCATAGAGGGGCACCTAGGTGGCTCAGTTGTTAAGCATTTGCCTTTGGCTCAGGTCATGATCCCAGGGTCCTGGGATCGAGCCCCACATCAGGCTCCATCCCAGGGTCCTGGGATCAAGCCCCTGCATTGGGCTCCCTGCTCAGTGAGGAGCCTGCTTCTCCCTCTGCCACTCCCACTGCTTGCGTTCTCTCTCTCGCTGTGTCTCTCAGCCAAATAAATAAATAAAATCTTTAAAAAAAAATGCATAGACAAATTCTGGTAAAATATGTAAGAAACTAATGAGAGGTGGTTGTTCTGGGAAGAGTGTTTATATTTTCACTTATACTTTCTGATTTCTAATTATGTAAATGAAGTTTCTATAAAATAGTTCATGATTTTTATGAAGCAAAATCTATACAGAACATGATCTCAGTTTTGCTTAAAGCATAAAATAGCGACTCCCGGGTGGCTCAGTTGGTTGAACAGCCAACTCTTGATTTCAGCTCAGGTCATAATCTCAGGGTCCTGGGATTAATCCCCACCTTGGGCTCTGTAATTAGTGGGGAGTCTGCTTGAGGATTCTCTCTCTCTCTCGCCCTCTGCCCCTCCCCCGTTCACACACGTGCTCTCTGTAAATAAATCTTTAAAAAAAGAATAAAATAAATGTACAGATATGAAAATATCTGTTCAGATATGAAAATGGGTGAAGGGGAGTGGGAGATACAGGCTCCCAGTTATGGAATCAGTAAGTCATGGGAATAAAAGATACAGTATAAAGAATTTAGTCAATATCATAATAGTGACAGATGAGGGGCGCCCGGGTGGCTCAGTCGTTAAGCGTCTGCCTTCCGCTCAGGTCATGATCCCAGGGTCCTGGGATCGAGCCCCGCATCGGGCTCCCTGCTCAGCGGGAAGCCTGCTTCTCCCTCTCCCACTCCCCCTGCTTGTGTTCCCTCTCTCGCTGTGTCCCCCTCTGTCAAATAAATAAATAAAATCTTTAAAAAAAATAGTGACAGATGATAGCTACACTTTTAGTGAGCATACCATAATGTATAGACTTATCAAATCACTATGTTTTACACTTGAAACTAATGTAACATTGTGTGTCAACTATACTCAAATAAAAAAAGAAAGAATGAAAATATACAGGGAAAAAGATATGTCAGAATGTACATAGTGCTATGAGTGATTACTTATTCCATTATCCCGATTATCTAAGAGAAATATGTATTATTTTTATAATCAGTAAAAAAAGAGTATTATTTTTAATGATGCAAGGCAAACAAACCAAGAAAAATTATTGCAGCATTTATGATTAACAGCTAGCTGTAATTCACAATAAGCAAATATGACCTGTTGGAAACACAGAAAATGCAAATTAAACAAAGTATGTTTTTCACTTCTTAGCTTAAAAATATAAACCAAAAGTAGGTAATGGCCCATGGAACTTATATATTACACTCTGTCAAAAGGAAAATCTTTTCAAAAAGTAATAGAATTAATTTGCCCAATTGGGCATGAAGCTGTACCCAGTAATCTCATATCTAGGAGTCTCACATAGGAACTAATTCAAAAGAATAACTCATTTGTGTAAAAATAGCCATTTTAGCATTATTTATAAGAATGGCAAAACAGAAAAACCTAAATTCCCCCAAATTAAGTTACAAGTAAATTTTAGTATAAGCAGGAACACTACATCAAAAACTAATGATGGGGCGCCTGGGTGGCTCAGTTGGTTAAGCGACTGCCTTCGGCTCAGGTCATGATCCTGGAGTCCTGGGATCGAGTCCCACATCGGGCTCCCTGCTCAGCAGGGGGTCTGCTTCTCCCTCTGACCCTCTTCCCTCTCATGCTCTCTGTCTCTCATTCTCTCTCTCACAAATAAATAAATAAAATCTTTAAAAAAAAAAAAACTAATGATGTAATGTATGGTGATTAACAATGAAAAATTTTAGTATAACCATTTAATAAGCATTATACTGGCAATGAAAATAATACCTAAAGGATCACCTATCAATAGAAAAATGTTTACAATATAAATGAAAAAGGCTTGATATAAAATTTAATGTATGGCAACAACACAGATAATTTTTAGACATTTTGTTAATGAAAGAAAACAGACTCCAAAGGCTGCCTGTTGTATGATTCCATTTATGTGACATTCGGAAAAAGGAAAAACTATAAGGATGGAAAACAGTTCAATGGTTAAAGGCGTGGGGGAGGGATGGACTACAAGAGCACACTGCACAAAGAAATTTTCAGGATGATGGAACTGTTTCTGTATCATGAACTGTAGTGGCAGACATAGTTCAATGCATTTTTCAAAACCCATAAAACTGTACACCACAAAGAGTAAATTTTACATACGTAAATTAAAACAACAACCAGGATGTGGAGAAAAACCCAAAACAGAATACAAACTGTAATAAACAACCCCAATTGTAGTTTAAAGGAATAACACAATCACATTACAGAGGCAGAAAAAACCTATGTTCCATTGGGAAACAGTATTTGAACTGAATACTCTAAAGCTATAGACACAAAGAACTATACACACATTCTATACTCCAGTAAATCCGTTGTTTATAGGGTTGGAAATTCTAACACTATGTATGTACTAGAATTATACAAATAAATAAATATGTATATTATCAATAATGAAAGCCAGGTTTCTTGCTGTCAGAAGAAAAAAGTTCCAAGGAAAGAAGAAAGGCTGGAAAGAAGTCTGTGGCATTGGGCTGGAATTGGAAGTATTAGTATGAACGCATGATTTTTTAGGAAGTATCGATATGAACTCAGTCTTTAAAATACATAAATATAAATTTAGATGTGCATGTATGCACAGGTTAATATGCATAACACATATTTTCAAGCTCTGTCTGCTGAGGGCATCTAGAGACAATGACACTCCCATAGCAACAGAGCATACTTAGTATACTTAGTGCCCAGATCTTTGTTTCTAAATTATCAGTCTCCAATATATGGGAACAGGGCTCCACAGAGAAGGGGTTGATTCCGGGGCTGTTGCAAGGAAAAATAAAAGATGAGTGTAGAGCATCGTGTGGTACCAGAAAGGAAGTACTCAAATACAAGGAGCGTGTTGAAAAAGCACAGGTGCCAACATGAAAAAGATCCCAATGGCCAAAGGTAGAATTTGAGCAACAAAATAATGATAGCATTGGATTATAACTCCAAAGAATATAATAAACATCCATAAGTCCACAGTAATATAAATGAGTAATTCAACAGAGGAGAAGGGAGAGATTTTCCTTACAAAATTCCAATTAATAAATGTAGAAGGAATGAGGGAGATAGAAAACCACCATCAGAACACCAGAGTAATCACCTCTGTAGACAAGATCCATTCATGGATGCTAAAATGAATAAGAAAAAGTGTGAGGAGAAAGAGGATTATTTGCATAGTCTTTGCAGAGTCTCAAAGTATTTCCTCCAAACATTTATTAATTACAAAGGGAAAAATAGTAAATTTATCGTGGAGAAACCAAGCAGACTCACTTTAACTGAGGTTAATGCTACCAACGTAACACATCCTGTACTCCCTGGTATGATTTATGGAGAAAAGCACATCACTTTAGCGGTATTCTTGCCACTTATGCAAAAATGCATAAGGCTCAATCTGTTCATGAGAAACTTAAGACAAATCCAAACTGACGGACATTTTACAAAATAATTAACAAGTATTCATTGAAAGTGTCAAAGTCATCAAAAAAGGAAAGACTGGGGGAACTGTCACAAATGGCAGAGTAAGGAGACATGACAACTAAATGCAATGTAGGATCCTGGAAGAGAAAAAGGCTGGAAAAACTGGTACAACCAAATCAAGTCTACAGTTTAGTTAACATTATTGTACCAATGTTAATTTCTTACTTTTGATAACTATACTATGGCTATGTAAGATGCAACATTAAGAGAAGCTGGGTGAAGGTTATGAGAAATCTACTAATTGCTGCAACTTTTCTGTATGCCCATCATTATTTCAAAATAATATATATATGCTAAGATTACAACTATGTGAGTATTCAATACAAATGAAAACACAAACTGGAAAGAAATAAATTTTAAAAATACTAATAGCTATATGTAAGGAACCGTCGTGTTTTTTAAACAAAGTACTTTTCTAAATCTCCCATAAAGTAACTGTTTGCTACTTTTATAACAGAACAACGTAAGTTAAAATAAAATAAGTCATTACTTACTTTTTATACAGAACTCCATACGGTTTTTTCAGTGCATACTGTAAAACATAATTTATAGCTTTCAAAACAAATTACATTCTGAAAAGCGGAAGCAAAGATTAAATTGCATTGTATCAGTCACTATACACTGGTCCCTGAATCCTATTCTGATGTCTTCTGCTTGGCTCCCTTTTAATCACTTATATAAACCTGCAACATAAGCTTAATAACCTAACTTAGACTGCACTTCCTTAATCTAAAGTTTCTATGCTCTTTCAAAAATCTATCCAACTTAAATGATTCCTTTCATTTCTTTACATTCTACCTATTCCATTCTTTCCAGACAAACTATTTATTTGAGAGTAGAAAGAAAAGCAGACGAGAACAAAAAAATAAATCCTATCAGAAAAGGCTGACGGAGTTGAAATAACGTTGTCTGGAGATAAGAGAACGGAGAAAGAGTCCCGGTGATGACAATCAGAATACTACTCAGGAGTTTAAACACAGCCCTTTAAAAACTCCTGTCATTCAACCCTCTTTTCATTTTTTTCTTACTTCTTTCCACTCATTCACTAATAATCACTTATTACCGGTATGGTCAGTTCTGCTCTACCATAAGGAATAACAAAGACCTAAGGCATTCCCTTGCATTAGGGAAATGGGTAAGTGAGGGAAACAATGAAACGAAAAATGATCATTCATCAACAATCAGAGCTGATGAACAAAGGAAATTCAGCAGTAAAGCCTATCTTTTTAAGTACTAAACTTTTTTTTCTTTTTTTATTTGTTTTAGTAATCTCAACAGCCAACGTGGGACTCAAACTTTCAACTCCAAGATCAAGAGTCACATGCTCTTCCGACAGAGCCAGCCAGGAACCCCTTCAATACTAAAACTTTTAAATAATTCTTGACCAAATGTTTCCCTGCCTTGGTGTAACGCACCATTACCACAGTGACAACTCAAGAATCATAAATATGAATGTTAACTACCGCAGTAACATGTAATAGTGTGCTATTCTTAGAGCTTACTTAAATACAGGGCCAGTATCCTACCAACACAATGACACTGAGACAGAAAGATGAACATGTATTAGACATTCAGATATCTGAACTATTGTGTTTAACAAGCACAGAAAGTTTAGTCAAGTTTAAAAGTCTATTCAATTACTTGGTTGATTTAAGTCAAAGAACCTATTGGCTGTATTCAAGGCCTAAATATTCAACCACCAACTAGGTATCTCCATAGACTATGCTTTCTAATCATTGATTAGACATTTACTGGGCATCTACCATGTGCCACACACTGGGCTAAACATCAGGCTACAGAGGTAGAAAAAAACATAGTTTTTATCTTCATCACTTACATTACAGGTCCTGAACTGAACATACCACTTCTCTCTCCAAACCTGCTCCACCTGGTGTATTCTCTAATTGGCATTATCACTCATCAAGAACCCAACCCAGACACCATGCCCAAACTCTTCTACCCTCAACATCTAGTCTCTCCGATCATCTCTCATTTTCACTGGCAATACCACACTCCAGATACTCATTACCTGCCTGACAGCAATGGCTGAATTAGTTTCCCACATTTGCTCTCAATTTTTTCTTTTTTTTCTTAAAGATTTTATTTATTTATTTGACAGAGAGAGACACAGTGAGAGAGGGAACACAAGCAGGGGGAGTGGGAGAGGGAGAAGCAGGCTTCCCGCAGAGCAGGGAGCCCGATGTGGGGCTCGATCCCAGGACCCCGGGATCGTGACCTGAGCCGAAGGCAGACGCTTAACGACTAAGCCACCCAGGCGCCCTGCTCTCAATTTTCTCTGGTCAAACCGATTAAAGGAGCTGATCATATCTGTCACCTCCAATCTTTCAATGGTTCCTTAGAGCTTTCAGAACAAAGCTCAAACTCCATGTTATCTGATCCCTGTCTGTTCTTCTAGCTCCATGGAGCCCATTTTCCCTTCAGCCATCCCCAATTACTTGCAGTTCCCCAAATGCATCGTGCTCCCTCACATTCCCTTTTGTTGTTATTGTTTTTTGTTTGTTCGTTTTTTGCACAGGTATGTCCCTCAGCCTTGGAAGACTTTCTCCTCCTCTTCCTCTCCTCCTACTTGCTCCAACTCCTCCTTCGAAACGAAGTGTAAGTATCTTCTCTGGGAAGCCCACTGTGTGTGGCTACCCTTATGGGATTTTAACTCTGCCTCCCATCCTACCCTGTACATGCCTCCAGCACAGCACTTAATTCACAGTGCTATAATTTCTTACTTGCCGGTCTCCCTCATTAAGCTCACTGAAGGGATAGATGTGTCTTATATAACTATTAATCCTCAGCACCTAGCACAGTACTTGGTATTGCTGAAGGAATAGACAGTAATATGCAGTTATTTCACTTTATAAACTAGATATGTTCTTTAAATGCGAGTAAACCAAATTCTAGTAATTGAAACCAGCTGAATTTTACTAAGGGAACTACAGTAGTTGCTTTAAGGAAAACCAGTGGTTAGTGTCTTGCCAAGGCAAATAACCTCCAACTTGAGCCTTTCTCTAAGGCTAGCCGTTCTTAAGGCAAGGCAAACTTATCCATGTATTTCTCCAGCAGCCTAAACTAGTATGCTGAAAGTTTCCTAAAATAATTTCAATACCATCTGAAAAATAAGTGTGCAGGGACGCCTGGCTGGTTCAGTAGGAAGAGCATGCAACTTGCGATCTCAGGGTTGTTAAGTTCGAGCCCCACGGTGGGTGTAGAGATTACTTAAAAATCTTTAAAAAATTAAAAAATAGGGGTGCCTGGGTGGCTCAGTCGTTGAGCATCTGCGTTCGGCTCAGGTCATGGTCCCAGGGTTCTGGGATCGAGCCCGGCGTCGGGCTCCCTGCTCAGCGGGGAGCCTGCTTCTCCCTCTGCCTGCCGTTCTCCCTGCTTGTGTTCCCTCTCTCACCGTCTCTTTCTCTGTCAAATAAATAAAATCTTAAAAAAAAAAAATTAAAAACTAAGTGTATATATATACATACCACATCTTTAAGTACTTGTGTCACCATGGAATTTGCATTTCCCCCTTTAATCAGCATAGCATTTTTAATATTTTCACTGAGTTTCGGTTCTCTCTTCTCAAGGAATCTCTTGGCTCTTTTCGTTTTGGGCTTTCTGTTCAGAAAATCACAATTCATAACAACTTAAAACGTTTTCCTCAGAGTACAAAACCATGACTTGACTAACATGCAAATTCTTAAAAACCAACAGATATTACAGAACATTTATCAGTCAGGATTCTACCACTAAACAAAATCTCACTTTTTAGGGAGATAATAGTACAAGGTATTCAGTTATTACTGTGAAGTGTTAATTAGCTTTTGATTTTTTTTAAAAATGCTTTCATTTTTTTATACCCCCAACATTCTTTCATTACCGCTTTTTTTCAAAACCTTTATTTAAAAAAAAAAGACTCAATGCATATACTGTTGCTATTTTTACTCCATTATTTTTTCTTCAGTCTAAATAAAGCAAATAGTACTTACCCTAACACAAAGAATTGCACACCAACTAGTGACCAATCTGTGGGCAGTTACTAAACAGAGAGAGGCTACTAAATGCCTCTCTTTCATCCAGGTTTAAGACCACAATGCCTAGTAGGAAGTATACACAATTCCACTCCAACATCACAGCTGAGAAAGTCAAATATTATTGCTACCAATGGGGGATAATAATGACTGACAACTTCATAGAGTCACTCTATTAAGGTTTATCTTCACCCAGATTCCACAACACAGGTAAAATTATTATCTTCATTTTACAGATGAGGCAACTGAGGCTAGGGAGGTAACGCAGCCAAGGTCACACATCTTACAAGTAGGCAATCTTCAAAATGAGCGAGATTTAAAAACTCATCTAGACCAATCACAGCAAAATATGAAGGGAAAACAAATTCATTATTCTGATCTTACGATGTGACAGCAGGAGTAGAATGTTTTTATACATTTCTGTTCAGAAAACGGGCTTCACTTCTGCTTCCACTATATCTTGCTTTTCCAACAGTTCTCTGCCATCTACTGAAAGAATTCCTCCTCTCTTAAGTAACTATGACCCTCCATCCTCCTTTCAGTCCTATGGACACTTTGGACAGCAAAAGAAAAACAGAATATACACACACTCAATTTATCACGCAGAGTTTAAAAATTCTCCTCCAGAAAAAATGTCAAGCAATATAAAGCTTCCAGTCATTTGCTGTTTGATAAAGATATGCGTTTGTTAAATCAAATCAAGAAATATTTAGTACGTCTAAACTAAAAAAAATAAAAGTGCTCTATACTCTACATTCCATGTGGTTTGTTACTTCTCACTAGCCAGCAACTAATGCAAATAACATCTTATATATTTTATCATCTGTTTGTGCCCCAATCAGATCGTAGTCTTACTCATCTTTGCCATCCCCATACATGGAGGAATATATAGCAGATGCGCAAAAATCTCTGAATTAATGACTAAAAAAAGAACTTGTTTTGGTTGGATGTTAACCCAGGCAAATCTCAAGAAGTAAGAGTAGAACTATTTAGGAGATCAATAAATATTTTCTGAACGCATTTAAAACAAACATCAACTCAAGAAGAGAAAGAAAAAGCTAATCAACATGTCTACGTGCTGTAGCAAAAAGGCTTTACATACATTCTCGCCAATAAGCCTCACAGTTCTACTAAGTACGATTATTACGAACGCTATTTTACAAAGTAAACCGAGGTTTAGGGGTATTATATCGCCCAAAGTCACAAAGCTTTGAGAACGCGCCCGAACTGTCACCTACAGCTGTCAAATTCCGAGGCCTTGTGCTGGTGACCACTCATTCCCTCACACTTCTTGGGAAGCCCAGGACGTTTCTAACTGGACAAGATAAAAGCGGCCATCTCCGTGCTACCGCCTGGCAGCTCCCACTAGTGGGCAGGAAGGCTCTCCGTCTCCCCGCGGGCGGCACCAACAGAGGGAGACCCAGGCTAGTTGGATAGATCGGCCCACCGCAGGCCCAACTGACAAAGAGCGGGAGGAACGAGTGGCAGCCAGGCGGAGCAGACACTTTTTCACTCCTTCCCACCACAGGAGTCCCACTCTCTAACGTCCCCCAGAGAAGGGACCCAGCGCACTTACACAACTCGATCCAAAGCGTCCATGGCTACCGCAACGCGAATCCCGGGAACGCACGTGCACGGCGCGCTTCCGCGAGATAGGCCAGTGTTCCGGAACAGGCGGAACCGGAACTTGCGGGTAACGCCACTTCCTGGGACCGCCCGGTCGTGGACGCTTGGGCTAGTGCTGCGTTCCCTTGGTTACAGATTGTCTTTTAGCCGGAAATAAACACTCTAGGTAACACCGCCTGTAGCCGCATGATGTACACGCCTGTGTGTACACTCGGAATAAGATATTCAGGGACCAGATGTTATTCTTCTGGGAATCTCCCAAAATGCTAAAAAGGTTGATGACATGATAGGTATTCACGTAGTGGCTAAAAATGTCAATGGGAAATGTGCACTATTGACTGAACTGTAAGATCAGTGAGGCAAAATTTAAAACTACCACAGTGGCTCATAAAAGGTGTGCAGAAAATAACCCTGCTGGGGAGCCTGGGTGGCTCAGTCGTTGGGCGCCTGCCTTCGGCTCAGGTCATGGTCCCGGGGTCCTGGGATCGAGCCCCGCATCGGGCTCCTTGCTCGGCGGGAGGCCTGCTTCTCCCTCTCCCACTCCCCCTGCTTGTGTTCCCTCTCTCGCTGTGTGGCTGCCAAATAAATAAATAAAATCTTTAAAAAAAAAAAAAGAAAAGGGCGTGGGAAAGCATGTCTGACAGAGGTAACAGCAGAGATGAAAAAAAAGAAAGAAAATAACAGTGCTGATCCTTATTTTTCCCCCAATTTTTGAGTTGCCATATACTTCATATACCATAAATTTTACCCCTGTAAAGTGTACATGTCAGTGGTTTTTAGTATATTCGCAAAGGTAAAACTATCACCACTATCTAATTTCAGAACATCTTTATCACCCCAAAGGGAAACACCCACCCTCTCAACCCCGTAGCCATCACTACCCATTTTCCCCTCTTGCCGATCCCTGTCAACCAATGATCTATGTCACTATAGATACGTCTATTCTGAACATAACATGTAAATGGAATCATACAGTATGTGCCCTTTCGTGTCTGGCTTCTTTCACTATGTTCATACATGTTCGTGTTTAAGATTCAAATGTATAGCATGTATCAGTACTTCATCAGTACATTCATTTCTTTTTTAGGACTGAATAATATTCCATTGTATGGATATGCCACATTTTTTTTCCTTCAAAAATTTATGGACATTTGGGTTTTTTCCACTTTTTTACTATTATGAATTATGCTTGTTTGAACATTCACATACAAGTTTTTTTGTAGAAGTTTCAATTCTCTAGGAAGTAGAATTGCTGGATCATATGGTAACTCTATGTTTGACATTTTGAAGAACTGCCAAACTAGTTTCTGCCTGTACCATTTTACATTCCCACTAGCAATGAAAGAGGGTTTGGCACCAGTATTTCTATTCTATTTCTGTATTCTATTACCATAAATTTACTGGTGTAAATAACACAAAGTTATGTTAGGGTTCTAGGAGTCTGAAGTCTGAAATTAGTTTTGCAGTTCTAAAGTTAAGATGTGGGGCACCTGGGTGGCTCAGTTGGTTAAGCAACTGCCTTCGGCTCGGGTCATGATCCTGGAGTCCCGGGATCGAGTCCCGCATCAGGCTCAGCAGGGAGTCTGCTTCTCCCTCTGATCCTCCTCCCTCTCATGCTCTGTCTTTCATTCTTTCTCTCTCAAATAAATAAATAAATCTTTAAAAAAAAAAGTTAAGATGTCACAGGGGCCCCTGTGTGGCTCAGTCGGTCAAGTGTCTGTCTTCTGCTCAGGTCATGATCTCAGGGTCTTGGGACTGAGTCCCGCATCCAGCTCCTTGCTCAACAGGGAGCCTGCTTCTCCCTCTTCCTCTGCCTGCCGCTCCCCCTGCTTGTGTTCTCTCTCTGTCAAATAAATAACAAATAAATTTTTTTAATCTTTTTAGGAAAAAAGATTTAATTTTAAGTAATCTCTGCACCCAACGTGGGACTCAAACTCACCACCCTGAGATCAAGAGTCGTATGACCTACCTACTGAGCCAGCCTGGAGCCCCTAAACTTCTTTATAAACTTTTTAGGGGCACCTGGGTGGCTTAGTTGTCTAAGCATCCAACTCTTGATTTTGGCTCAGGTCATGATCTCAGGGTGGTGAGATTGAGCCCCGAGTCGGGCTCTACAAAGGGTGTGAAACCTGCTTAAGATTCTCTCTCTCTGCTCCCCCACCTTGATCTCTCCCATAAATAAACAAATACATACATACACTTTTTAGTGGTTGCCCTAGAGTTTGCAATATACATTTACAATTAATCCACATCCATTTCAAATAACTACTTCATGGAGTGCACAGGTACCTTATAATACAAAGATACTCCTAATTCCTCCTTCCTGTCCCTTGTATCATTTCTGTCATTCACTTCACTTAGACATAAGCACACATGCCTTAGGCCATTTGAGGCGTTATCAGAGAATATCGTATACTGCGTGGCTTATAAGGAACAGAAATGTATCAGCCACAGTTCTGGATGATAGCTGGAAAGTCTAGGATCAAGCCATCGGCAGATTTGGTGTCTGATGAGGGCCCATTTCCTGATTCACAGACAGCCATCTTTTCACTGTGTTGTCACATGGAACAAGGAACAAAGGAGCTCTAGGGTCTCTTTTATAAGGGCACTAATACTATCTAGGAAGGCTTCACCCTCATGACCTAATCACCTCCCAAAGGCCCCACCTTGCAATACCATCACATTGGGGCTTAGGATTTCAACACAAGAATTTTGGGGGGACACGTTCTGTCTATAGCAATCCATATACACAGAAGCATTCATAGTCAAATATATTATTATTTGAACAAATTTATCTGGTAAATCAATTAAGAATAAAAATAAAATTTTTATTTTATCTTCACTTATTCCTTCTCTGATAATCATCTTTTCTTTATGCAAATCCAAGTTTCTGACTCATCTCATTTTACTTCTCTCTAAATAACTTCTAACTTTGGGTGCCTGGGTGGCTCAGTTGGTTAAGCGACTGCCTTTGGCTCAGGTCATGATCCTGGAGTCCCAGGATCGAGTCCCGCGTCAGGCTCCCTGCTCAGCGGGGAGTCTGTTTCTCCCTCTGACCCTCCCCCCTCTCATGTGCTCTCTCAAGTAAATAAATAAAATCTTTAAAAAAAATAACTTCTAACGTTTCTTGCAAGGAAGGTCTACTGGCAACACATTCCCTTGATTTTTTTTTAAAGGTTTTATTTATTTATTTGAGAGAGCATGAGTGGGGTGAGGGGCATAGACAGAGAGAGAAGCAGACACCCCACTGAGCTGGGAGCCCAATGTGGGACTTGATCCCAGAACCCTGGGATCATGACCTGAGCCGAAGGCAGACACTTAACTGACTGAGCCACCCAGGCACCCAGCAAATTCCCTCAATTTTTGTTTGTCTTTATGTTTTTGAAAGTCTTTCTCTCTCACATTTATTTTTTTAAGTTTTTTTTTTATTTGAGAGAGAGAGAGAGAGAGTGCATGAGAAGGGGGAGGGTCAGAGGGAGAAGCAGACTCCCTGCTAAGCAGGGAGCCCGACATGGGACTCGATCCTGGGACTCCAGGAGCATGACCTGAGCCGAAGGCAGTCGCTTAACCAACTGAGCCACCCAGGCGCCCTCTCTCTCACATTTAAAGGATAATTTTGCAGAGTACTGAATTCTAGCTTGGTGGGTTTTTTCTTTCAACATTTAAAGTATTTCATTCCAACTGTCTTCTTGACTGCACAGTTATTGAGAAGTCAGATGTAATTCTTATCTTTGCTCCTCTATAGGTAAGGGGTTTTCCCCCATCTGACTTCTTTCAGGATTTTAAATTTATTGTTAATTTTCTGTAGTATGAAAATGGTATCCCTAGGTTTAGGGGTTTTTTGGGGCATTTATCCTAGTTGGTGTTCTCTGCGCTTACGGGATCTGTGGTTTGGTGTCTGAAATTAATTTGGGGAAATTCTTAGTCATTATTGCTTCAAAGTTCAGCTTTTTATTTATTGTTAAATTGGAGTGGCAACTTCCAGCTTCTCAGTGCTAGACCAGAAATGAGAAATGTCTCTGATAATATTTTATTGAATGCCAGATATTGTGAATTTTACTTTGTTGGATGTTGGATATGTTAAAAAGATTCTTCAGTGTTGGGGTGCCTGGGTGGTTCAGTCAGTTGGGCGTCCAACTCTTGGTTTCAGCTCAGGTCATGATCTCAGGGTCATGGGATCAAGGCCCACATTGGGTTCCACACTCAGCTCAAAGTCTACTTGTCCCTCTCTCTCCCCCTCAGCCTCTCCCCTAACTCATGAGTTCTCTAATAAAGAAATACATAAAATCTTTAAAAATATATATTCTTGGGGCAACTAAGTGGCTCAGTTATTAAGCGTCTGCCTTCGGCTCAGGTCATGATCCCAGCGTCCTGGGATCAAGCCCTCCTTCGGGCTCCCTGCTCAGCGGGAAGCCTGCTTCTCCCTCTCCCACTCCCCTTGCTTGTGTTCCCTCTCTTGCTGTGTCTCTCTCTGCCAAATAAATAAAATAAAATTTTATATATATATATATATATATATGGTGTTGCCTGAGATGCAGTTACTTGGAAATAGTTTGATCCTTTCAGGTCTTGCTTTTAAGTTTTGTTAGGTGAGGCAAAAGCCTTATTTAGGCTAATTATGCTCTGAGGCAAAACCGTTTTGAGTACTCTATCCATGCTCCATGAAATATGAGGTTTTTCTACACTGGGTGAGAACTGCAAACCCAGGGATTGTTCAGATGGCTCTTTTCCCTGCCTCCAGTGGTTTTCTGGCATAGATGTGATCAGTATTCTACTGAAGACTCCAGGAGGATTCTCTGTAGATCATTGAAGCTTTCTCTCTGTACTCCCTTTCTGATATTCTGCTTTGCAAGTTCCAGCTCTCTTGGTCTTCTAGGGGTTCCAGTTCCATCTCCTCATCTCAGAAAGACTTCTGATATTCATCTGGGCTTCTCCTTCTTACACTGTAACCTGGAAATTTTCTCAAGGCAGTATTCTAAGGAAATCATAAGGCTACCTCACTTGTTTCCTGGGATGGGACAATTTATGCACCAAAGTGAGAATGACAGTGTAGCAGACAGAATAATGTCTCCCTAAAATGCTGAGATCCTAATCCCCAGAACCTGTGAATGTTATATATAAAGGGTGTTTTGCAGATGTAATTAAGTTCAGGATCTTTAGATAGGAAGGTTATCCTGGATTTTCTGTATGAGCCCAATCTAGTTACAAGGAAACTTTTGAGTTACAAAAGACCTTTTAAGAGGGACACAGGAATGTAAGAATCAGAGATGTGATTACAGAAGCAGGTGAGAGAGAGATTTGAAGATGTTATATTGCTGGTTTTGAATATGGAGGAAGGGGCCTCAAGCCAAGGAATGCAGGGAGCCTCTAGTAGCTGGAAAAGACAAGAAAATGGATTCTCCCCTGGAGTCTCCACAAGGATGTAACCCTATCAACATCTTGATTTTAACCCCATAAGACTTAATCTTGGAATTTGACCTCCAGAACTATAATAAGTTTAATGATGTTTAAGCCACTAAATTTGTGGTAATTTGTTACAGCAGCAATAGGAAACTAATATAATCACCAAATGGGAGCATGGAATATGAATAGAAAATAAGAGTTTGTGAAGACATGATAGTGAAAGAACTCTTATTTGGGATTTGAGAAAACTAGGACCTTTGCTTTCTTGACATCCTTATTCATGATATGCAAGTATGGCTACATTAAACCCAGAACAAAGTACCAGCTGTCCCTCCCACCCCCCAAAAAGAAAAAAAAATTTTTTTGGAAGATTTTATTCATTTATTCATGTGAGAGAGAGAGAGGCAGCGGGAGAAGCAGGCTCCCCACGGAGCAGGGAGCCCAACATGGGACTCGATCCCAGGACCCTGGGATCATGACCTGAGCCAAAGGCAGACGCTTAACCGACTGAGCCACCCAGGTGCCCCAGCAATATAACACTATTAAATAAAATATCGTTACTTGTAAGCAAAAGCCAACCACTGCATTCAGTGTCAGAAGTAGTATTGTGCCAGCTACATAGAGACGGTAGTTCCAAGATTAGTTTGTAAGTAATTTTATTAAGTCAGTAAGGCCGATCAATGGTGAAGAAATTCATTTGTGAAGTTCTAGTCTTACAAAATATTTCATAGTTGAAAAATAAGATTTAGTTTACCAAATTGCAAACATTTATTCTCATTTACAAGTAAGGAACTAACATACATTATGTTCTCTTCAGATTATAAGACTTTATTATCCTCTTCAATTTAAGGTAGAACCGCATCAGTCTATATCAGTTTCTTTAGCAAGATTACACGTCAAGAATCTTCCATTCTACTTCCTTATACTTTTCTGTTTTTCAAAATGCGTACTGTAGTAAATAGGATTAAGTGTGGCTCTACAGAGTGACTTAAACGAGAGCCGAGTTATTTCTCTCACATAAAGGCCAGACGCAGGCAGTCACAGCGCCTTCTCTGCCTCAACAGTGGCAGTCGTCACAGGTTTAGAAGGACGTTCACACTCACAGGACCCCATAGGACTTAGGGGACTGAACCCAGGCCCCGACTCACTTAACTTCATAGGAAACAGCACAGCACCATGAGGCTTGTTTCAACAGGAGGCTTTACTCTGGTGCCCAAGTGTCAATTCAGGTGTAAGGAGACAAGCTCATCTGGGTGGATGCAGAAACCATGCTGGCTTAGAAACTTCACGCTTCCCAAGAACCAACATCTCTTGAAACAGCCATGAGTGTAGCTTTCGGGAATCTTTGTAATAAGAAACACAGGGCTTGGGGCACCTGACTGGCTCAGTCAGTAGACCACGTGACTCTTAATCTCAGGGTCGTGAGTTCAAGCCCCAGGGTGGGCATGGAGCTTGGTTAAAAATAGAAACAAACCAAAAACACATGGTGCTTAAGTAAGTCTAAAGTCCGTATTTTCCAATGGGCATTTATAGCGGTTGTAGTCTTCCTGGTCTAGACACAGTTTACCAATAAGGGATCTTTTATTTTTTTTTTTAAGTAGGCTCCACATACACGGTGGAGCCCAATGCAGGGCTTGAACTCACGACCCTGAGATCAAGACCCGCGCTGAGATCAAGAGTCAGACACTTAGGGTGCCTGGGTGGCTCAGTTGGTTGGGCGACTGCCTTCGGCTCGGGTCATGATCCTGGAGTCCCGGGATCGAATCCTGCATCGGGCTCCCTGCTCAGCAGAGAGTTTGCTTCTCCCTCTGACCCTCTTCCCTCTCGTGCTCTCTTATCTCTCATTCTCTCTCTCTCAAATAAATAAATAAAATCTTTAAAAAAGAAAAAAAGGAGTCAGACACTTAACCAACAAAGCCAGGCTCCCCAGGCTCAGGGGAGCTCCTCCCCCAGCTCAGGCTCTTTTTTTTTTAAAGATTTTATTTATTTATTTGACAGAGAGAGACAGTGACAGCAGGGACACAAGCAGGGGGAGTGGGAGAGGGAGACGCAGGCTTCCCGCTGAGCAGGGAGCCCGATGTGGGACTCGATCCCAGGACCCTGGGATCATGACCTGAGCCAAAGGCAGACGCTTAACGACTGAGCCACCCAGGCGCCCCTCAGGGGTCATTTTTAATCACAATATTGCCTGACATCACAGCTGACATTCTATTATTATCTTCTCTAGTAGATTTCCAGAGAAATAGTGCCAAAAGGTAAAGTTGAAGTCATTTCACACGGGGAAAAAGAAAGGATTTACTAACCTTTATTCTTGGCAGTCCAGGGCAACACATCAGGATCCAATCTCCTATCTTGTTGCTCTGCCACTCATGGCTTCTATTTCCAAGGTTTCTTTACAATCCAAAAAGCCTGCTGAAGCTCTAGCCACCACATCCATACTCCAGAAAAAAGAGAAGATGAACTGGCCCATCTCCCTTTATGCCTTAAAGTTTAAGGAAACTTTCCAGAAGCATCCATCACTCAACACTTCTAATTCCATGTCACTGGCCAGAACTTAGTCATTTGGCCACATATTTACACATATATGGGTATGCTGCTAACCTGAATAACTCTGGGATTGTTACAAAATAAAAAAAGAAAGAACAGATACTGGGTCAGGTAATTAGCAAGGTGGGTCAGAGATAGGATGATGGAAGAAGCAAAGAAGCAAGAGATTTACTGGCTTTGAAGAGAAGAGGACCATAAGCCAAAGAATATAGGCAGCCTCCAGAAGCTGGAAATGGCCCTCAGATGACAGCAAGAAAATGGGACACTGATCCTTCAATGACAAAGAATTGAAATCTGCCAACAACTAAATGAACAAGGAAACAGAGTCTCCCCAACCCCCAACCTCCAGAAAAGAATGAAGTCCAGCCAACACCTTGATTTTAGCCCAGCCCATGTCAGATAGCTGAATTACAAAACTATATGATAATACACTTGTCATTTTTTTTTTAAGATTTTATTTATTTATTTGACAGAGGGAGAGACAGCGAGAGAGGGACACAAGCAGGGGGAGTGGGAGAGGAAGAAGCAGGCCTCCCGCCGAGCAGAGAGCCCAACGCGGGGCTCGATCCCAGGACCCTGGGATCATGACCTGAGCCGAAGGCAGACGCTTGATGACTGAGCCACTCAGGAGCCCCACACTTGTGTCATTTTAAGCCACTAAGTTTGTAGTAATTTGTGATGGCTGCAATAAAAAAATGTATACACTTACCTTAATAAAACTTCCAATTTAAAGAAATTCAAAGAAGGATCCCTACAGTCATTTATACCAGATTTTTAAAAATTCAATTCATATCGGGTCCTTAACGACTCTGGTATATTAAACTGTGCTATAATCAGAAATGCATGTATAGCCAACAAAACTAATAAAATAGTGAACTGAAAGCTACACAATTATGTTATATAAAAACTCCAAAAAGTTCATTACTAGTTATGAGAAACATTTCATCTAGGAGTGATTTCCGAGGCACTATCTTGAGTTTCCATAAAAACATAACCTTCTGTCTCAGAAGAAGGGATATCAATAAGAGGACCAGAATTCTCTACTTCCAAGTTCAGTGATTTCCCCTGTTCATAATTCAGGTTTGAATTATCTTTTGTTTGAATTTCTTGCTCTTCCAACTCCAAAGATTTATCTGAGGCTGTAGCTACAACGTCGTCATCTTCACATTCATGCAGAAAGCTACAGATCATGTTGGGTCTGTAGGAGAAATCATTGTCCTTGATTTGCAGCCATTCCACACCACCTAATGGGGGACGGTGAGGGATGGGAGGACAAACCAAGAAAGAAATATGAAAAAGGAATTTTAGTTACTTACATTTATTTCTCTTTAATTTTTTTTTTTTTTAAGTAGGCTTCACGCCCAGTGCGGAGCCCAATGTGGGGCTTCAACTCATGACGCTGAGATCAAGACCTGAGCTGAGATCAAGAGTCAGACACTCAACCAACTGAGCCACCCACGCGCCCCTCTCTTTAATTCAAATTTTCATCCTATGAATACATGTCAAAATAAAGCCCCGACATAAACCAATGAACATGGTACCATGACTATTAATAAACAATCACATTATTTTCATATTACATGGAGACCCTGGAGTGCCTATAGTATATGCAACATCAAAACTCACTGTAAGTGAAATATAGTCAATAATACTGTAGTAACTATATGGTGACTACACTTATGGTGAGCACTTTGTAATGTATATAACTAATGAATCACTATGTTGTACACCTGAAACTAATATAATATTGTATATCAACTATACCTCAATTTAAAAACATTTTTCTAAATTTTTTTTAAAGATTTTATTTATTTATTTGACAGAAAGAGAGAGAGAGAATCACAAGTAGGCAGAGCAGCAAGCAGAGGGAGAAGGAGAAGCAGGCTCCCTGCTGACTAGGAAGCCTGATGCAGGGCTCAATCCTAGGACCCTGGGATCATGACCTGCACCAAAGGCATACGCTTAACCAACTGAGCCACCTAGGCGCCCTAAAAAAAAAAAAAATTTTTTTTTTAAGATTTTATTTATTTATTTGACAGAGAGACAGAGAAAGCACAAGCAGACAGCAGCAGGCAGAAGCAGGCTCTCCGCTGAGTGCAGAGCCCAATGCCAGGGCTCGATCCCAGGACCCCGGGATCATGACCTGAGCCAAAGGCAGACGCTTAACCGAATAAGCCACCCAGGCGCCCTCTAAAGAAATTTTTTTAAGATTTTATTTATTCATTAGGAAGAGAGAGAGCATGAGCAAGAGAGAGCACACAAGCAGGGGGAGGGGCAGAGGGAGCAGGAGAAGCAGACTCCCCGCTGAACAGGGAGCCCGACTCGGGACTCGATCCCAGGACTCCGGGATCATGACCTGAGCTGAAGGCAGACACTTAACTGACTAAGCCACCCCAGTACCCCTCCAACTAAAAATTTTAAAAAATAGGGCGCCTGGGCGGCTCAGTTGGTTAAGCGACTGCCTTCGGCTCAGGTCATGATCCCGGAGTCCCTGGATCGAGTCCCGCATCAAGCTTCCTGCTTAGCGGGGAGTCTGCTTCTCCCTCTGACCCTCTTCCCTCTCATGCTGTTTCTCTCTCTCTCTCTCTCAAATAAATAAAATCTTCAAAAAAAAATTTTTTTTAAACAATTCAGACCATAAAAAAAATCACTAAAACTAATCATCTTCATTTACTATTCCAAGCCCTTTTTCCTGAGTCCAATTCCCAACTCACTGAGATAATTTGAGCTCTCACTACCACCTTGTCTTTCACTTCCCTATAATTTTCTCCTGTCTCCATAACAGATGATACTACCCTATCATCTTTCAACTCAACACTCACATGTCATTTTGAGTTGGAACATCCAACTATGAAATAAGACACCTCTCCAAAAAAAAAAAAAAACTTGAAAAAAAATTGTTATCCTTTTCATACTTACAGTCACAGCCCTAACCCATCAATGAACCTCCCATAATCAAGTATGGTTTCAATAATGCTAGTAATTTGGGGGCGCCCGGGTGGCTTAGTTGGTTAAGCGTCTTGACTCTTGGTTTTGACTCAGGTCCGATCTCAGGGTTGTGGGATTGAGCCCTGCATCAGGCTCCACACTCAGTGGGGAGTCTGCTTGAGAGTCTCTCTCCCTCTCTTTTTCCCTCCCCCTCTGCCCCTCCCTGTTTGCGCTCTCTCTAAAACAAATTTTAAAAAAAGTGCTAGTCATTTTTTTCTTTTATCCTTATGACCCCTTCAAATATTTTCAATGGATCCTCATCAATTTCTATAGCAAGCCTGAGCTATTTACTGTCATCTTCAAAATGCCATTCGATATCTCTAAGATACCGCAACTTATCTTGCCACCCTGTTCACACTTCGAACTGCTCCTATTCCCCACCATAAACCAACTCTTCTGTGACTGTTTGTTGAAACATCCCTACAGCTGATGCCATGTCTTCTCGTATGTTATTACCATAAAATCTCCTTCTATCAAAAGTTGTTTAGTCCTTTTCTCTCTAGTCAGCTTCAACTATTCTTTCATTTTTTCCCCCTTGCAATAGCATCATTCACCTAGTCACCAGCTTCAAAACCTTGAAGCCATTCTGCAGCCTATTCTGTTATTTAGCATGGTACATGGCACATTCCAGATACTTAATTGCATAAAATGGGTGTTGAGTCACATTCATACATGTGTTTCAATGTGATTTATTTTTTTTTCTATTTTTTTTTTTTAAGGATTTTTTGACATAGTGAGAGAGGGAACACAAGCAGGGGGAGTCAGAGAGGGAGAAGCAGGCTTCCCGCCGAGCACGGAGCCCGATGCGGTGCTCCCTGGGATCCTGGGATCATGACCTGAGCCAAAGGCAGACGCTTAACGACTGAGACACCCAGGCACCCCCAATGTGATTCACTTTAGAGTGCAAATTCCCAGAAGGTAAGGACCACATCTCCTATTTTGTTCTGCCTGCAGCATATTGCCATGTTTGGTCGCCAGGCTCCAAGATGGTCCCCAAAGATTTTCACCTTCCCGGTATTCATGCCCCTGTGTCATCTCCTCCCACAATGAATAGGACATGTCATAAATAACAGAATGTGACTTCTAAGGCTGGTTCATAAAACATATTGTGGCTTCTACCTTGTTCTCATGGATCACTTGATCTGGAAGAAGCCAGCTGCCATGTCAGGAGGGCACTGGAACAGTACTGTAGGGAGGCAAGAACTGAGGCCTCCTGCTAAAAGCTGGCACAAACCTGCCAAGCATGTGAGGAAGCTGTCTTCTATTTAGATTTTCAGGTCACTGCAACCCAGCCAACATATTGACTGCAACCTCAAGACAGACATCGAGCCAGAACTGCCTGGCTAAGCTGATCCCAAATTCCTGATTCACGGAAACTGTGTAAAATATTTTTGTTGTTGTTTTTTCAAACCGTTAAGTTTAGAGGTAAATTTCTATGCAGCAATACATAACCAATACAGCCTTGTTGGCTAACTAATTTATGTGATTAAACAAAATACCCAAATCTCCCAAAAGCCCTATTAAAGACTCCAGGAAAGGAAATTCTACAACTTCCTTCTTTAAAAAAGAATATCTGGGGCCCCTGGGTGGCTCAGTCGATTAAGTGTCCACCTTCAGCTCAGGTCATGATCCCAGGGTCCTGGGATCGAGCCCCGCATCGGGCTCCCAGCTCCGCAGGAAGCCTGCTTCTCCCTCTCCCACTCCCCCTGCTTGTGTTCCCTCTCTCGCTGTATCTCTCTCTGTCAAATAAATAAATAAAATCTTAAAAAAAAATAAAAAAGAATATCTAAGTAATAGCTAAGCTATCTGATATGTATCTACCTTTCAAGTTCTTTCTAGAACTTCAAGTACCTCTTCCTGTTATTTTCACAGTGCTAAAAAGGAGGAGAGAGGGCGCCTGGGTGGCTCAGTTGGTTAAGCGACTGCCTTCGGCTCAGGTCATGATCCTGGAGTCCCGGGATCGAGTGCCGCATCGGGCTCCCTGCTCAGCAGGGAGTCTGCTTCTCCCTCTGACCCTCCCCCCATCTCATGTGCTTTCTCTCTCATTCTCTCTGTCTCTCAAATAAATAAATAAAATCTTTAAAAAAAAATAAAATAAAATAAAAATAAAAAGGAGGAGAGATTGAGGATATACATGTGAGGAACAAAGATTTTTTATGTACTTATGTGTAATTGGTATAATTAATTTCTACATGACTAATATACCTTCAAATAGTTATTCCTTAAAATACAATAAATCAAGCCATAAATATCCATCACCAGAGTCATGTTTACTAGAGTTTGAAATACGTCTTTGAGCAAGGAGGTTTTTGGGTTTCTTTTTTCAAATTATGTGAATTTTTTTAATTTTTTTTTTTTAAGATTTTATTTATTTGACAGAGAGACAGAGTGAGAGCAGGAACACAAGCAGGGGGAGTGGGAGAGGGAGAAGCAGCACCCCCCCTAAGCAGGGAGCCCGATGCGGGGCTCGATCCCAGGACCCCGGGATCATGACCTGAGCTGAAGGAGGACGCTTAACGACTGAGCCACCCAGGCGCCGTATGTGAATTTTTTTAAAACTGAAATATAACTGACGGGCACCTGGGTGGCTCAGTTGGTTAAGTGTCTGTCTTTGGCTCAGGTCGTGATCTCTAGGTCCTGGGCTTGAGCCCCGTGTCGGGCTCCCCGCTCAATGGGAAGTTGGCTTCCCCTCTCGTCCTTTCTTTGCCCCTCCCCCTGCCTGTCCTCTTTCTCTCTCTGCCTCAAATGAATAAATAAAATCTTTAAAAAAAACTGAAGTATAGTTGACAATGTGACGTTAGTTTCAGGTACACAACACAGTGATTTGAAAAGTCTATACATTCACTACGCGATGCTCACCACAACTGTAGCTTCCACCTGTCACTACACAACACTGTTACAATACCACTGACTATTCCCTAGGCTGCACCTTTAACTCCCATGACTTACTCGTGTACCACGGGAAGCCTGTATCTCCCATTCCACTTCACTCATCTTGTCCACCCCACCACTCCCTCCCCTCCGGCAGCCACCAGTTTGTTCTCTGTATTTATGGGTCTGCTTTTTGTTTAACCGTTTGTTTTGTTTTTTCTATTCCACGTATAAGTGAAATCACTTATCTTTCTTTCTCTTTCTTCCTCTTACTTCACTTATGAGCAATGAACTTGTAAACTATCAAGTGATTATGTATCTCCACAAACATGTGCCTGCTATGGTTGCAAGAAGCAATAGTCTAAAGTCTCTACTTTGGAATGACCAGCAACTGGAGAAGGCTCAGTGGATGTGAGTTAAGAATGAAACTCAGGTCCAACAACTGTGGTCCTAGAGTCCTTCCCTCACATATAAAGCCAGCTTCTTCCAGTTATTAGCTTCCTGGGGAAGGTTGCCACCACTGCCACAAGTTTCCAGGAGATTCTCTGGGGTTTCACCTTGAGAATCCAGATCCTACCATCCCCACGTACAAAGAAGTTTTAATTAAGGGGGTGGGGGATGGTGGCTGCTGAATTCCCTAGGGGTTGGAAATCTATCAAGTTTCTTAACAAACTCCTCACAATTGTCTCCAATGCAAAGTAGGTAAGAAATTTCTTACATGTCTCCAGTGCCCTCTGCTACACTCAAGTTCAAATGAAATTTTTTATTTTATCTTTTTTTTTTTAAAGTAGGCTCCATGCCCAGAGCAGAGGCCAACACGGGGCTCGAACTCAACTATGAGATTAAGACCTGAGCTGAGGGATGCCTGGGTGGCTCAGTCAGTTGGGCGTCTGCCTTCGGCTCAGGTCATGATCCCAGGGTCCTGGGATCGAGCCCCACATCGGGCTCCTTGCTTAGCAGGGACTCTGTTTCTCCCTCTCCCTGCCGCTCCCCCTGCTTGTACTCTCTCTCTCTGTCAAATAAATAAAATCTTAAAAAAAAAAAAAAAGACCTGAGCTGAGATCAAGAGTCAGAAGTTCAACCAACTGAGCCACTCAGGTGCTCCTACAATTCAAATGAATTTTAAATCTATATCTGGTACTAAAAAAAAAAAAAAAAAATCTATACCTGGTACTTTCAGGAAGCACTCTCAATTTCTATAAAACATAGTTGTTACTACAAAGTACAAGGAATGTCCTGGCAACAATGTGTCATCTTCAAAGCCAAGAGTAAATCACCTACTTTCAGAGAACTAAGTGAACTAACCTATGCTTTCTTCTCCTTCCTTCTTTTCTGTCAAAAGAGTTCTTGTCATGCTGAGCTTCTTCATTGTATGGCATTTATATTTTAGCACTGTTTTACTACTGCCTTCTGCATCACCTAGAACATAAAACGAACTCAATTATTTTACTGTTGATGCCACCAAATAATCATGTGAAGCCTCAATAACTCCAGTTCAAAGAGTGAGACTAAACTACTTCCTGTTGAGATAGTGTAGTAAGTTCAAAATTTAACTCATCCCTCCTGCTCCCAGCACAGAGAAATGACAGATAAAATATGTAACAACTGAAGGCACAAGTGGACCCCAAAACAACAAACATCTCCAGAGGACCAAAACGCAAAGCTGTGAGTGAAATTAAATCTACTGGCCTGCTAGGCTCCAGCCCTGAAGTAGGCAAGTGGGACCAGGAATTGCCTTACAGGGTAATGGTGTCTCAAATTCTACCACTCTAAATGAAGCACCAACGTCAGACTTACTACTTGAAGCCAGAGACTGGAGCAAGGACGTTCTCAATCACAAAAGAAGCTGAGAAAAAACCTGCTGCCAACATGCTGCCTGGGGTTACAGCTTTACAGGAAACTGTGGGCGCAGGCAGGAGGGAGGATGAGACTCTGAGTTAGAGGTGTGAAGCACACTGAAAACTTCCAGACGCTGCTATGTGTCACTGACACTACACTTTAGAAAGGATCATACCGCTACCTGTAAGGATGAACCACATTAAACTGTCCATATTTAGTTCAAGTTGGTCACTTCATATGGTTAAACCTAACACACACTCAGCAATCTGGTAATTCCATTTCTAAGTGTGTATCTTAGAGCCATTTTTGGAGACACAAAATACTCATGGCAGCATTTCTGCAGTAAGTTAATAAGCAGAGTTAAGATCACGGGCTTTGGACCAGACCACCTGGGTTCAAATCCCAGCTCTGTCTCTCACTTCGTGTATGACTTTGGGAATGCTATTTACCTCTTTGTGTTTCAGTTTCTTCAAATATAAAATGAAGACAAAATGGTATCTACCTCACAGACTTGTGATGAGGATTAAATGAGTTAATACGTGTAGCATTTAGAACAATGCCTGACATATAAAAGGCATTCAATAAATTTCCGTAGCTATTAATAATTACTGGTAAAAATGGAAGCAATCAACATGTCCAGTAACTGGACAATACACTGTGGTATGGTCACAAACAGAATACTTAGCAACAGGGAAAATAGAATTATACATACCAACGTGTATAAATCTCAAAACCTATCTCTAACTGAAAAAAAGATATGCAATGGTACATATAATATGCTGTAATTTGTGTCAAGTTTGAAAATATACAAAAAAAATGCTACTTATCGTTTGTGGATACATATATGTGTAATACAAAATCAGGTACAGGAAAGAAAAACATCAAATTCAGGAAAGTGATTATCAAGACAGAGGAAGGGAGTATGTTAGAGAGGGGTAAACACGAGGCTTCAAATGTATCTGGAATATTTTTTAACTATCCGGCAAAATGGTAGGATTTGATATAGCGAGACAATGGGCACATGAGATGTTAAATTTTAATATTTACTGTACAAAAGTAAGTTTGCAATATTTCACAGTAAAAAATTTGAGTCAGCAATGCAAGCACTTACCATGTTCAACATTTTCTTCAAATATAACACAGGTCCCAAGAGTGTCTGCAGAAAAGTTGAAGGCAACTTGTTGAGAAATAACAGAGTAACTTCCTCTGAAAAGCATATTAAAAAAGGAGTTTTATCTATCTGACATCCTCCTACCTTCATATTCTCCAGCAAAGACATAGCTGTCCACTTGCAGAATGGGCCTCTCAGTGTCAATTCCCTGCAACAGAATACAGGATCATTAAAAAAATCATCATTACAGGGTGCCTGGGTGGCTCAGTTGGTTAGGCGACTGCCTTCGGCTCAGGTCATGATCCTGGAGTCTCAGGATCGAGTCCCGCATCGGGCTTCCTGCTCAGCAGTGAGTCTGCTTCTCCCTCGGACCCTCCCCCCTCTCATGCTCTCTATCTCATTCTCTCTCTCAAATAAATAAATAAAATCTTTAAAAAAAAAATCATCATTACAAAAAGCCTTGCAGGGGTGCATAGGTGGCTCAGTCGGTTAAGCACATCCAACTCTTGATTTCTGCTCAGGGTGGGTCATGAGATCCAGTCCCACCTCAGGCTCTGTGCTGGCTGTGGAGTCAGCTTAGGATTCTCTCTCTCCCTCTCCTTCTGCCTCTCCCTCCCCCTCTATAAAAAACAAGCCTTGGCGGGGGGTGAAATGGGTGAAGGTAGTCAAAAGATACAAACTCTGTTATAAAATAAGTCCTGGGGATGTAATGCACAGCATTACTCTACTTATTAATACCTTGGTGTACACTTAAAAGTTGCTAAGAGTGTAACATCTTAAAAGTTTTGACAACAGGGTGCCTGGCTAGCTGTCTGTAGAGCATGCAACTCTTGATCTTAGGGTTGTGAGCTCAAACCCCATGTTGGGCACGGAGCTTGCTTAATTGAAAAAAAAAAAAAAAACCCTCATTACAAGAAAAAAATTGTAACTGTGTGTAGTGATGGATGTTAACTAGACTTACTGTGGTAAGTACATACAACTGTTAAATCATTATGTTGTACACCTGAAATGTAATGTTATATGTCAATTACATCTCAATTAAAACCAAAAAAAGGAAGAGGCTTCAATATGTAACCTTGCTACCAAGGAGAGTGAACGCCAAAACTGGGGAACCTCTGGAGCTTGTCCTAGCAAGTGCAAGGTAAGCTAAAAATGCTCTGCTCACAGCAGTTACAATACTTCATTCATATCCAAGTAGCACGCTGTACTTCAATCAACCCCCTCTTCAAGTTAAGGTAGGAACAGAAAAAGTCTTGTCAACGGTAGCTCAAAGATTTTTTTTTTTTATTATGTTATGTCAATCACCATACATCACATCATTAGTTTTTGATGCAGGGTTCCATGATTCATCGTTTGGGTATAACACCCAGTGCTCCATTCAGTATGTACCCTCTTTAATACCCATCACCGGGCTAAGCCACCCCCCCACCCCTCAAGCTCAAAGATTTTTAAGTAAAATGATAAAAACAGATGGTAACATGACACCACAGCTCAAGTCAACAGTAGAGTGTGAGGTCTTTAAATTCTTTTCTTAGTAGGCTTCTTTCCTCCCTTCTCCAGTTAATCTGTGTGCATATCTAAATAGCCTGTCTTCACTGTTTTCTCTCCCCGCTCACTATCTAAAACAATGTACTTTTTCGAAATATATAGGTTGGTAACAAAATGCTACCTCCTCTAAATCTTTCACTCTCCCCGGGCACACATTCAGACTCTGAAGGCGAGCACGGCATTTTCTCCCATTTGTTCCCATAGTCCCTCTGTGCTTCTCTCTGATTGTCCTTAGAATTCAGTGCTTTGTAACGAGGAATAGATCTTTGGGGATACATATTTCAATATTCATTCTTGTTTAAATGTAAGAAAATCTACAGAAATCCCCCAATTCTAGAAGACTCACCAAAATCTTGCATTTATTTTCACATTTTGATAGAAAGTCTGAATCAATAATTCCGGACAATTCCACCAGAACCAACTGCTCCTGGTGGAAGAAAGAGGAGTTAACATGCTAGCACCGGAGAGTTCAGAAGAGGCAGTTAATAAGCGAAGCCAAAAATCCCCACCGGAGCGATCCCAACTTTTGTGAACACTAGGGCCTCCTTTCAACGAGAGGAAGCAAGCGACGATGCCTAAGGTTAACTTCCTCTACTTCCCCCATTCTAGCTACTGTGTGGCAGCTAGGGCCGAGGCCGGCGCTCCGGCTCCGCGCGCCGGGGGCTCTCCCTCCCGCCAGCGGCAGCCCGACTCCCTGCCCCACACGCCGCCCGCGCCGCGCAGGCCGCCGCCGTGCCACTCACTGCTTCCTCTTCTTCCTCTTCTCCGTCCTCCCGGACCCGCTCCTCGGTCGCCGCCATGATTCCGCACCTTTTCGGAACCTCCGAGTCGCTGGCCACGCCCTCCGCGGCCGCCATCTTGAGTACGGGCAGCAGCTCCCCAGGTCTGGCTGCTGCTCGGGCCCCGCAGACCGCTCCTGCCAGGACGCGAGATGGTCGCCCCCGTACCCACGTGGAGGTCCGCGCCGGGCTTCCTTCTGGTTTCTTTCTTGAGAGGAGGAGTGCGGGTCTGGTGGCAGCCGGCCGGGGCAGGCCTGCGACCGAGGACACCCTCAGGCTACCGGCCCGAGTTGGGGGAGAGGGCTGGGGAGGGAGAGAGGATAAAGAAGGTGCAAGCAAGGAGGCCGCCATGTGAGAGGGAAACGAAGAGGCCTCTCTTTGGCCCGACTCAACATTTCTTGGAAAGATATTCTTAATATCGTGTGAGCACTGCTCCTCAATTCTAGTTCTCCTTGAGCCGAGTTAAAAGCACATTTCAGTGTAACACGTAAGGAGCGCGCAAAGTGGGCTTGGGTTTCAGGCCTGCCAGCCTCAGATCTAAGATAGGTAGAGAAAGGGACCCAACCAATTATATGCTAATGCGCTTGCCCTAGGTACCGTAAGACAAACATTGTTAGGGGAATTCACAGACCTGGGGAAGTGGAGTTTTGAACCGAATTTTCTTAAACTCATGGGTTTCTCTGATAATAAAATAAATGATCTTTGTATAGGAAGCAGGATTATCTAGCTCCAAAGAGCATGAGCTTTGGGGTCTGATACTTGTCCAGTTCAGCTGCATTTTTAGCAGCAAGGCCCTAGGCATGTTGGTTATTGTGAGGATTAAATGAGACAATACATGTAAGGTAGACTTAGCCCAGCATTTGGCACAGATTGAGCATTTAACGTGTTTTATCTAGAAGGGGGAGTGGGTGAGGGAGAAGCAGACTCCTGCGGAGCAGGGAGCCCGAATGGGGGCTTGATCCCAGGATCCTGGGACCATGACTTGAGCCCAAGGCAGATGCTTAACAACTGAGCCACCCAGATCCTAGGACCATGACCTGAGCGGAAGGCAGATGCTTAACGACTGAGCCACTCAGGTGCCCCTAGAGTATTGACTTTTAAAAAACACTTTCCCATATATCCTTTCTGCTTCTTTCTACACATAAACACTTTTTTTAAAGCATTAAATTTATATCTCTGTTTTTACTTTACTCACTGTATACAACATCATGGATTTTTTCCAAGTTTTCCATGGTAAATACAGATTCACATCATAATTTCTAGTAACTGCGTAGTATTTATTGTGTAATATTATTTCACAACGCTTGTGTGGCCTGGCTGGCTCAGTTGGTAGAGCGTTCAACTCTTGATTTCAGGGTTTTAAGTTGGAGCCCCACCTTGGGTGTAGAGATTACTTAAAATATATTTTTTTAAATAGCACACAACACTTTAGTAAACATCTTTGTACATTTTTACTGAGTTGCCCCATTAAAGAAATAGGATTTTATTGCTTAAAAAAAAAAGAAAAGGGGGCGCCTGGGTGGCTCAGTTGGTTAAGCGACTACCTTCGGCTCAAGTCATGATCCTGGAGTCCTTGGATCGAGTCCCACATTGGGCTCCCTGCTCAGCAGGGATTCTGCTTCTCCCTCTGACCCTCTTCCCTCTCGTGCTCTCTGTCTCTCATTCTCTCTCTCTCAAATAAATAAATAAAATCTTTAAAAAGAAAAAAAAGAAAAGGTAGAGCGCTTAACTTGTTAGACATTATAGATTTGAATTCTAGCTCTGAAATGTAATACTTGTGATCTGGGACAAGCTCCTACACTTTCTAAGCCTCAGTGTTCTTATTTATTAAATGAAGATAAAAATATTTATACTTACTGTATATTTTGCATTTGAAGATTAGATCCTGTTGTATCTAAAAGTGCTTTGTAAATTGAAAAATTACACAAGTTGTCAGATTTTATTGGGGTAAAAGGGAAGATAAAGAGGAGAAGGGCAAGCCAAGGTAAGGGAACAGCAGTCACAAAGGCTTGAGGAATGAGAATATGTGTGTGTACGGTTTTTTTTAAAAGATTTTGTTTATTTATTTGACAGAGAACACAAGGAGGGGGAGTGGCAGGTAGAGAGGAAGGGAGAATCAGACTCCCTCTGAGCAGGGAGCCAGACACAGGGTATGATCCCAGGACCCTGAGATCATGACCTGAGCTGAAGGCAGATGCTTAACCATCTGAGCCACCCAGGCACCTCGAGAATATGTGTGTTCTGCAAGGTCAGTGTAATAATTTAAGAAGTCCCTTGCAGGGACACCTGGGTGGCTCAGTCGGTTAAGCGTCTGCCTTCAGCTCAAGTCATGATCCCAGGGTCCTGGGATGAGTCTGACATCGGGGCTCCTTGCTCAGCGGGGAGCCTGCCCCTCCCCCTGCTTGTATGCTCTCTCTCTGACCAATAAATAAATAAAATCTTTACCCCAAAAAAGTCCCTTTCAAATAAACAAGCCTCATACATCTAGTCAAGGTTATTACTGTTTGCTATTTATGAAGTAATTATTATTTTTATTTATTTTGAACAATTTACAAAAGGATATAGAGTGAAAAAAGTTAGAATAAGAAGTAAGCTTTCCATCCCAGTCCCCCTACATCCGCTTCCCAAAGACAAGCAATTTTACCAGTTTCTTACATACATATACTTTCAGAGATATTCTATATATTTACAAAAATATGTGTATACAAAATCTGTAAGGTAATTTTAATATTAAAACATCGCACACAAAGTAGAAAACCATTCCCTTGGGAGGAAAGGAGACAGTATGGGCTTCATGGCCTAGAGCTCCTGCCCTTTGAAAATTAGCTTAAAGGTTGAAACTTCTTGGACAGAAAACAGGTAGTTATTGGGCATAATAACCCATCAGCAATCAACTTTGAAAGAGGGAGAAAAAGAAGCCTTTTGGTGATTGGGAGGAATTTCAGTGGATTCTAATTGGAGTCCATTTTTTTTTTTTCCCTAAGATTTTTTTCCCCCCAGGAATGTCTACATCCAATGTGGGGCTCGAAGTTGACAGTCCTGAGATCAAGAGTTACATACTCTACCAACTGAGCCCGTTCTTAATACATTCTATTCTCAGGGTACCTGGCTGGCTCAGTTGGTAGAGCATGTGACTCTCGGTCTTGGGATCATGTAGTTCAAGCCCCATGTTGGGCATAGAGCTTACTTAAAAAAACAAAAAAACAAAAACCATTCTATTCTCAATCCTAAAAAAGATAGTAAGTCTCAGATGCCAGCTTAAAAAGACTAAATTATCCTTACTTAAAAACAGAAGCAATAGGGGTGCCTGTCTGCCTCAGTCGGTAAGCTAGAGCATCCCATCCAATTCTTGATCTCGGGGTAGTGAGCTTGGGCCCCACCTTGGGTGTAGAGATTACTTAAAAAAAAAAAAATAGAAGCAATAAACCTAATTTGGCTGATCTATATATGGAATCCTTTTTGCAATAAAAATGAATGAAGTAGAGATACATGCTACAACGTGGGTGAACTTGAAAGCGAGAAGGCAGACACAAAAAGCCACAAATTGAATGATTCCAATTATATGAGATTTCCGGTTAAGTGAGCCTATGGAGAGAAAAGGTGATTAGTGGTTGCCAGGGCCCCCGGGGGAAGGGAAATGACTACAACTGGATGTGTGGTTTCTTTTGGGGGTGATGAAAATATTCGGGAGTTAGTGGTGATGGTTGCACAACTTTGTGAATATCCTAAAAACACTGAGTTGTATACTTTAAAATAGTCCATTTTATGGTGTGTTTATTATATCCTAATATAGCTTTTATTAAAAACAACAACAACAATAGAAGCTGCTAGTTTGAAACTGAACAGGGAAGAGAAATTTCTTAGGTGATTAAAAAAAATCTTTGAAGGCCAGATGAGGGCCAAATACTATGGCAGCTGTATAGCAGAAATATAATTTGGCCCTGGATCCAAAAAGATGGCTTAAGGATCCATGCTGAAGGGGGCAGGGAGGAGTTGGTAAGGGTCAAGTGTCATTAGCATGTTTTGACTGAATCTACTTTAAGCTTTATGACAGTCTCAAGAGGTAATTATTATCAAGAGTGATGTTCAGAATATTTAACTGTTAATATTTAACAGGCTGGCAGGAAAATTTAATCTCTGTCAGTTTTCTCTCCTTTACTGTCCCAGATCTTACATAGTATTTGGAGAGAACTTTCCAGTCTCCAGCCCACATTGGTTACTACTGAAATTCCCATGGTTGAAGCCACACAGATCCTTGAAATGCAGGGACTCTTGTTTCCCAGAGCATGGGAATCCCTGCTGTGTTTGGGAACCTCAGTGTTTAAAGGTCTAGCCTTTCTAAGCAGATCATAGATCTTGGCACCCGTCCAGGGCGCTGGGAGGGGATTGAGGACATACCAGTCTATGCTCCTTCCCAGCCTCCAGTTTTAAATAAAGGCACCCCCTCCCCTTTTCCCTCTCAGACATCTAGCATAATTTCTTCAGTGAGCTCAGACTCTAACAATGGACAGGAAAAGGCACCATCTTCAGAGCTTCAGCTTTCCATTCTTTAGACATGCCGAGATGATGGAATACAAATGGCTTGGCTACCTGCTTGGAAGGGCTAAAGGGGGAAATGTGGGGTATTAGTATCTCCATAAATTATCCTGCCATGTCAATAAAATCTTTTGGAAAAAATCAAACCTTGTCTTGTTGGTTTTAAGAATCAAAAAAATTTGTTCACACCCTAGGTCAGTTATAGCCTGGGAGCTTAAGGGCTCAAAGTGCTAACTGAAAAGAGATTTGGTGGCAGGGACTGTCCCAGTACTCTGAAGATCTTGTGTGGTTGTTGGGGCATTGCAAGAAAGGGGGTGATAATGAGAGGAATAAAGGATAATGACCTGGTGTCCTTCAGTCCTATAAAGGAAGAAAATGCATTTCAAAGTGTTCTAAGTAGTGCGGTTCTACTGCTAAGAAGTAACAAAATGAGGGAAAATTTACAAGTCAGCTTAAAAAGAGCCACCATGTTGGAGACAAATTACATGATTTTCTGCAGCCACAGTTAGAGTGAATAGAGAAAAA